ATAACATCTTCTTTGTCTTCATGGAAAGGGAGTTCTTCATCGCCGACCTTTAACACGCCCTTTTTCACGTCCAACACAGCTCCGAGTTTCTTAAGAAGATCCCATCCCCAAGATGAATTGATCAGAAATATCAGCAATTAGCACCTGGTGATTGATGGTGGTCTTTCCGATGGTGACAGACATTTGTATTTCTCCGTGCGTTTTTATTCCTTCACCAGTTGCTGTTTTTAACTGCAAGGTCGAAGATGAGATCCGAGAATGATTCTTCAATAACTCTGGTCTTGCAATAGTTCTTGTTGCACCTGTGTCTACTAGCAAGGATCTGTCTTCTCCATTAACTCGGCCGTCGATGTACAAATTCAGAACTTTTCCAGACGACGAAATGTTTACAGTGAAGATCGGGGCTTTGTTTCTGCAGGTCGACGATAGCCCCTTCCTGTCGACCTTTCTTAGTTTTCCGACTGCTGTAATGGTTTTTGGCAGTTGCGGCGAACGTGTCCAATCTCGCCGTGGTTCACGTTTCTTTGCCAGTGACTGTATTGCTTTATTGATCTTTTCTTCCATGACTTTACTGACCTTTTCTTCCACTACTTTACTGACCTTTTCTTCAAAACTTTCAGAGCCACCTTCCTCTTCGATGGTTCTTACCCGGCTCTCACTGCGAGGTTCCACCATACGTACTCGCGCACTTCCATGACTAGCTTTCTTGGCGGCTTCGAATTCTAACGCATGGGCCAAAGCTTTCTCAATTTTGTCGTGCCTAGCCAATCTCAAAGCCTGCTGGGCATCTCCATCACGAACGGCATCGATAAATGTTTGTACAGCCAGTTAATCAAGAAAGCTCTCCGGTGCCGTAGGGTATGCCAATCGAATCAGTCTAGCGATGTCCGCTTCAAGTTCCTGCAAACTTTCTCCAGGTTTCTGCATTCGGTTCTTGACTTGGGCATAGTAAACTTGCTGAAGGGGTTTATCGCCATATCGCATTTCGAGTCGCGCTACTATTTGTTGGAAGTTCTGTTGATCCTCGGGGATAGTCCGCAACACATCCAGAGCATCTCCTCTCAGAGCAAGAATCAGGGCTGTAGTTTTGTCTTGAAGAGTCCATTTATTTGCCGCAGCCGCTGCTTCAAACTGTCGAACGTACGTGGTCCAAGGAATCTTACCATCAAAAGTAGGTGGCTTTATTCGGGCTTGCTGAACGTCGCCTTCTACTCTTGTATTTGTTTCTGGGTCGACCTTCTTGTAATGAGTAGACTGTGGCACCTCAAGAAGACGGTCCATCAGTAATTCATCTGAGGCACTACTAGTACGCTCTTCCGTAGTCAGTCGCAAGAATTGCTCGCGCAGCTCTTCATACTTGTGCTCAATCTCAACGAATGTTGCTTTAAATGTTTTGGAAACTTCCGTAATTCTATCTTCAACTTTTTCTTCAAAATTTCTAGAATTTTCTTCCAACTTCTCGAACTTCTCTTGAATATTTCTAGAATTTTCTTCCAACTTCTCGAACTTCTCTTGAATATTTCTAGAATTTTCTTCATTAATCTTTCTAGAATTTTCTTCCAACTTCTCGAACTTCTCTTGAATATTTCTAGAATTTTCTTCATTAATCTTTCTAGAATTTTCTTCCAACTTCTCGAACTTCTCTTGGGTGCTTTTCATTTCTTGTTGCAACACCTGTTGGCCATTTTGGATTTGCTGGAGCAAATTGAGCATCGTTTCTTCCATTTTAGCGGCAGCAGATCTTGTTACAGGCATACACAAGCACAAGCACCTAATTTAATCTTACTTTTAATTAATTTAATTAATCCCACTTCTGACACCAATGTAACGTGATTTATAAATTCGGGTTCGATTTATATCAATATTTATTAAACAAAACTGAACACTATAAAAACTGTACAATTTATATCGACCATTTATATTACACACTTCGCAATTTATATCAGATTTTCGCGCTCAATGTTTCGTCCGTACTCGATCTCGTTCGATAGTAGACTGCCGCGATGTTCGGTCCGCAACCATTTATACACGCAAGCAATGTAAGTCCCGAACATTCTCGAATACGCGTAGAAAATTCCAGAGCGCCAAAGGCGACGTCATGTCTGGAGCATTTCCGTTACAGTATCCTGCCAATTATCGAAAAAGTTTTCGAAACATACGTAGTCCGCCACCTAAGGAAGTACTTGGAGGACAATCTCATCATAAATAGCAAACAATATGGATTCCAGAGAGGGAAGAGTACGGAACAACTCCTGAATACCGTTAATGATTACATAAACACCAACATGGACAACGGTAGATACACCATCGCAGTCTTTATTGATTTTGTTAAAGCGTTCGATACAATAGATCACGCGCTACTTCTGAAAAAACTGGAAGCATGCGGTATAATTGGGAAAGAATTGAAGTGGATCAAATCGTATTTAGAAAATCGGTGTCACATCGTAAAAGTTTGCAACGAATACAGCGAACCGAAGCCTTGCGACTTCGGTGTGCCGCAAGGAAGTATATTAGGTCCAATTTTTTTCCTGATCTACGTGAACGACCTTCCAAAAGTGATTGAAAAGTGTGTGTTATGTTCGCGGATGATGCAGTGCTACTATACGCCCATAGTAATATACAAGTGTGTCAAGCGGTAATACAAAGTGAGTTCAATAATGTGATTGAATGGGCACACGGTAGGAACGTTTATATTAATGCCACAAAGACTATTACAATGACTTTCAGAACTCCACACATGGTATTACCCAAATCTACCCAAATACAGCTTCATAATTGTAATTGTTTGTTTAACTGTTGTACATATTGTGGATGTCGTTTGCTGACCCAGGTCAGTGAGACAATGTATTTAGGCCTTAAAATGGACAATCATCTAAAGTATAACAAGCATATCGATTATCTTTATGCAAAACTAAAGAAAATTTCAGGTACATTTTACTTGCTTAAAAAACAACAAACGTAGAGGTAATGAGTCTAGTATATAAAACGCTTTTTGAGTCTTTAATTCGTTACGGTATACAAAATTGGGGTTGCGTGGAAGATATTTACATAAATAAATTAAATAAAATACAAATGAAGGTGTTAAAAATGATATACCAAAACATGAACAAACACGATATACTAGACAAAATTGACACATTAACGCCGCTAGGGGTTTATAAGCTGTACCATATAATTAGTAATTTTGAGAACGATCAATATAAGGTAACAATTGAACACCAATATCATACCAGAACCACGAAATATGTAGTACCACGCTCTTACAATAATTATGGTGAACGTACACTTAAATGCACTATACCGAGGTTGTATAATGAAATTACGTTTGACTACAATTCATTGAAAAGACAATTGTTTATAAAGCAACTTAAAACTATGCTCCGCAATGATTAAAGTACTGATTGCACTTCCCCTCACAGCGCCCTCAAATGTATACTTCATTTTGTGAACCTAAATGTGAAATTCTTATATCAATATGAACGGTACCCACTGATAAGTCTGTGACTTAGTGGGACCGCATATTATTGTAAAATTGCAACGAATAAATGAATGAAATGAATGAATTAATTGTGATTTTAAACATAATTCACAACCTACTTTAGACTGGTTGACGTAAATTAGATACCTACTATCATGCTTAAATTACCGTTTCTGTTAAAAACTAATAATTTTGAGGTTATTGAAGGACGTACCAAATTTTTGAGGATTATTGTCTAGTTTTGATTTCAGAAAACTACGGAATACTTATAGTTGTTTTAATGTTTTTCAAAACATCCTGTTTTTATTTAAATTGTCAATAACAATACCAAATATAACCAAACATGTTAACGAGTGTATGCATTGAGAATATATTTATATCGATAGGATTTATGAAAAAGTATTCATAGTTTTCTCTCGATAATTATCGCTATTACATTATTCAATAACAATCAGAGATCGACAATTTTCGACAGATGTCAATAATAATCTATTATTATCGACAATTAACGATCATTATTGATTAAAAGTTATCTATAATTATCAAAAGTTATCGAAAATATCGTTAGTATGCAGTGCCCAGAACGTATGCTCACGAGTAACATCAGGTTCTTTTTTGATAGCACAGTGCGAAAACGCGCCAAGCTACGAGATGGTCCTTTGAAGGATTCTCTCGCATGGCGATAATAATCTAACATCATGTTCTAGCTAACCCTGTGTTGGGTTCGGGTGTCTTTTGAGTTATTAAGTTTACAGTTTGCAACTATAAGTGGAAGAGCCGACTCTGGACCATAAAACACATGTTTTGAGGCAGTTCTCATTACCTTCCGTTAGGGGATAGTCCTCGAAGTCGTCCAATTTGTCAGAAAGCCCTATTTGCTTTTTCGGCTTTGAGCTGGATATGTTTTGCTCCAATTCAGTTTTTTGACTAGTATAATTCCTACATCTACCTCTGAAAATTGGAGATGTTCTTGGAATAACACCTCTACCTCCCTCTACCTTTCTTTTTTTCTTGTAAAGAGAACAAACATATTTTTTTCCCGCACAACCGACATGTTGAAAGTTTCAAACTTCAATTTTTAGTATGAAAAGTATCAAATTCAAATGTTCTCTTAAAAGTACCTTCCTGATTGTTTATTTACATTTTTAATTTTAAAAACAATAAACGTTAACGAAACGCCATTTTAGCTAGGGTTACAGTGGTGATTTGAAACTCGAGAGTTGAACTGCGGATAAAACGACCCTCAACATGAGGTATCTGCACATGGCCTCCTAACCATCTGACGAATTTATGTCAAGAAGTAGTATTTTTACCGTACTTATCCCCCGCCAATTGCAAATCGATCTGGAAAACTGTTTCTAATTTAGAAAGGCGGGGAGGGTGGGGGGAGTATTTACGTCCACACTATATGAAAATAAAAGAACTTCAACATTCCCATAAACTATTTCCATACACTCGTTCAGTTTCTCTTATCACCAGTGACATACAAATTTTGTTATTGGGTACGAAAGGTTACAACTGTTTACTGTTAACTTACAACAAAACAAATCTCTTTTGAAATTCCGTCGGAATAATTCAGAAATACATACGTTTTACTGTTTTAGAAACAAAAGTGGTCCATAAAGTAACAGTTCCAAAATAAATTTTCCAATTGTCCTTTATCGTTAGACAAGCGAGGTTGTTCTAAATGATAAATAGAATAGACATAAAATTTGCAATATCGATTATTTTAGTGTAGTTTATCTGTCTGGCCGATTACACAGACAGTCTGTTATCAACATTCAAAAAAGTAGATCCAAAACGCCACAGTACTAACGGAACGCTGCTCTATAACTAAACACTGGTAGAACAACCAATTTAGTTGTCATGGTGCAAAGTGTAATATTTTGCATATTTATTTTATCTGCACTTGAAGTGAGTGCGAATAACACAACAAATTTATGTAATTCGTTTTCAACATGTGGAGAATGCATACGATCTCCATATTGCGCGTGGTGCTCGGAGGAGGTAAACACAAACCTCTAGAACTAGTTTAACTCTGGGTTTTAGGGAGCGGATAATGCACCCCGATGTTTCAAACCTAACTTACACCTACCCTACATTGCCGAACTTTGCTCGGAAGATCAAGTTTATTTTCCGGCAGGTACGATATCTTGGGACGATTCGTCGACAGGTCAATTATCTCCTCAGATAATTAACTTACAGTTAAGAGTAAGTAAGTATAATATCCTAATCACCGTTTTTGTGCGAAGAGTTGTTGCTTTAAGATGAACCTCTCTACTTTGTGATCCATTTTGATAAGGCTGCCAATGATACGGTAAGTTCTCGGATACGTGCGGAAGACATCTACTTATAGTTTGATTTCGGTTAGGATATATCAATAGTATTGAATGATAACTCATCCCCGTATTTAAGCGTGGAGTACATTTCAAAATGTTTAGGGAGCTATGTGGAGACCAACGTTTATTGCACCAACAGTATTGTAAGTTTGTGTACCTTTAGACACTTGCTAATCTGCTGTGCTTAGGTACTTGAGGCCTCCAGGCATCTTCACTTCAACGTAAAGGTGGAATTGACCAAGTGTCCCAATGGATATAAGGAGCGATATCAAAAGTTCCAGATATTTTCAGAAAATAGTACCAAATCGGTAGATGTGAACGTTGAAACGTTTTGCACTTGCCCATGCGAAAATCCCGGATTTTTGGTAACTGTCGTGAATAAGGGTAGACATTCTTCGCAAATGGTTTATGCCAGTTTGTAGGGGAGAAACAGTCGCAATGAGGAAGTGTCATTTGTTTGCAAAAATCTCTTCAAGTAAAGTGACACGAAAATACAACATAAATGAGCTAATTTCTGAGTTTTTTCTGATTATCTCCGAATTTTGTCACTTTCTAAGCAGCGTTACGGGCTAGGTTACGGGTTTTCTAGATTCTAAAATCCCCTCGAATTTGGGGCAGTACCTTCGATTTTATGGGGACGAGAATTCAATTATTTGTTCTTGTAAGGTTTGAACGGTAATATAATTTCTATAAAAATTCTAACTTGAATTAAGGCCGCGGAAATTTTCATATGTACCGCTTCATAGAATGGTGATCTCGAGTAAGCTTAATGGGGGGGAGCCAGACGGATTTTGATACCATTGGTTGTTGATCGCGCGATAAGAGTTTATACGATTCGTCCCACTGCGTTGGTTCCGTTTCGTATTTTCTAGTCGGCGCAGCTTCCGGATCACTCGCATCCGTTCCTTGTCCCTCCTAAGCGTCACGGATCCAAATTTTACGCGAAATTCTCTTATTTTAGATAATAGTACTTTTTACGAAAAACACAGTTTTTCCTTATTAAAACGCATTCTTATCGCTAATAAATGACGTCAACTTTTAACAAAAGTAAATAAAACGCCCAAAAATTCAAACAGAACCCCTTAATTAATGTATCTACGTCGTAACGATTTGAAGAAAAGATGTTGTATAGACTACCACATGATGTAGTTTGCTCCATTAGGCCCTACGATATTTACTTCTTGGGAATAAGATTGTTTCACTTCCTGTTTTGGCGAATTGTCCATACTTACCATACATTTATTTTTTAGGGATATCAATTGAAGGCGAAGCAATGCAACAACGTTGGAACATTAAAATGTGGAGTTTGCGAGTGCGATTTAGCCCACACCGGTAAATATTGCGAATGCTCAGTGAGCGAGCTGACCGAATTGGGTTGTAAAGCAAATAATTCGACCGACGATGTTGACTGTTCCGGAAGAGGAACTTGTGTATGTAATACATGTGAATGCGAAATCACCAGTAATATTAGGAAGGTAGAGAACTAAATGCCTTACTTCAATTTTGATGTGTACCCCTTATAGAAAATTTGGGGAGCGTTCTGCGAATGCGACAATTTCTCTTGCGACAGACACAACGGTAAGATGTGCGCTGGAAATGGTATATGCACTTGCGGTCAATGTTCGTGTGATTCCGGGTATAGTGGAAACGCATGTGAATGCACTAACTCGACAACTCCTTGTTATCCCCCATTTAAAAAAGATGCGCTGATGTGCAATGGACATGGTGAATGTATTTGCGGCAGGTGTGAATGTGATGCGATGGAGGATGGAAAATTTTATGGAAAATTTTGCGAAAATCATCCGGTATGTTCTAAATTTAGCATCTTCTCATCATTCTCAAAAGATGTAGGTAGCTTGAAACAAAACACCATAGGTATCTGACCTTCTATGCAAATGTTTCCATGGAAATTAACTGTCAGGTAGATTTAACGATAACATCAAAGACTAGCCCTTAAGCTCTAACAATTAATAGTAGCACTGTAACTAACAGTTCAAATTTAGCGCAGAGCAAATACATGCAAGAATCTGGCCACTTGTGTCTTGTGCCAAGTGTATCTCCAAGGTCCTTACAATAGTACGGAGTGTGCCGAAAAATGCCCATTCGCAATTACTGTAGTGGATCAGTTGAAAGGTTTGTAAACGATTTTCTTCACTACTAACACTAACTACTTGACATGGAGCAATACAACTTGCAAAAATAAAATGCATGCAATAAGCATTGCATTGTATTTATTTCACAGTTGCTAACTTCAAATAAGAATTAAATAAGAATAATAAAAAAAACCGTAACCGGTGCGTACTTCAACATCATAGTTATCGCAGCTGTATTTTAGCAGATTGGTGACACAAAAACAACTCATGCCAGAAAAATAGCTCCGGCTATGCAAGTCTCTTGCAGCAATTGATCAACTGGCTTTGAACTGCGCATGCCTTTCGCAATTTATCTTGCAACTTGCTCCCCCCCTTGTCAAGCGGGCTTTAGGTAGTGAATTCAAAAAGATCAAAGGTTTTTTTTAAATTGCAGTTGGTGCTACCGACAAGGATTTCTTGTGCACTGGACAAGATGAAAATGGATGTGCTCATGTGTTTAAGTATCAAAACAACACAAATGTCTTTAATATTACTGCCCAAAAGGACGTGCAATGCGTATGAATTGAATTCGATTAATTTATGGTAGTCAAGTATTTGTAACTGTGAAGTTAAATAAATGCCGCTTTTTGTTTTGTTTATCTTTGAAAAACATGAAGAAGAATCGGCCCAGGTGGTCGCTTTATTCTTTAAAGATTGCTTTGCTAAATTTACAAATATGTCGGTATAGGAAAATTTATACGTGTACCGCTTCATAATGAAAGAGAACAGAAATAATATTCGAGAAATAATATAAGAAATAATTATTGTTCAAGCAGATAAGAGTTGAAACATATTACAGTGTTGCCTCCTCTAAACACCGTGGCGACAGAGCATGAGAGTATAAAAAACAGCGAGTTAATGCTTCAGTTGCGATGAGACGGCACTGTTGACTTACCCTATACTTACAGTAGGCAACTCTGTGGGGGAAAAATTACAAGCAGAGCGATCTAACTTTCATGAAACGACGTACCGCTTACAAAAAAAGCTATTGTAAAAAACCAAAAAAACCATTTTTTACATGTTCCATAATTTTACATTTTGCCGTTTATTAACGATCCTAGAGATTTTTTATAATTCTGTCTGTCGTCTGTCTGTTGGCCTGTCCGTCTGTTCCTTTGTCCGTCTGTCCATCTATCTGTCCGTATGATTGTTTAGAAATGCCCGATCTCTTTGACATCTCCGTTAGTTATGAACTGAATTGCATGAAATTCAATATGGGCATAGCTTCAGCCATATAATACGCAACGCCAAAAGTTGAGTCGAATCGATTTAAAATTCACAGTGCCCTTTTCGCATTCCGACCATTGATTAACCGAATTGCAAACTTTTTTATTTATAAAAATATTTAAATAATTTGATAGATAGGCACTTGGGATAAAGGAGAATCAAACGCCAGTTTCAAAATTTGGATTTGCGAATCCGCAATGCCAACTTTTTCATTTATGGAAGCATTTAAATGAAATTGGATACATAGGCGCTTGGAATAAAGGAAAATCAAACGCTAGTTTCAAAATTTGGATTTGCGCATGCGCAGTGCCAACTTTTTTATTTATGGAAGCTTTGAAATTAAATTCTCCTTATAAACTGAAACTGAAGTAGCACGTCAAAAATGGACGGCACCTATGCAACGCTATGTTTCATATTTGTGGCCGGATGTTTACCAGTTTTACAGAAGTTGCATCTTAAAAATGTAAAATGAATGGAAGTGGAAATGCGCTTTATGTAAATCTTTTACGATTACTTTTTTAACTTGTTTAAATTGTATCGCTTTTGTAAATTCTTTATTTAGATTTATGTATGTAATTGTAAAATGTGAAATTGCGTGTTAAAATGTAGAGACATCTGGTTGTTTGCGATAAGGATTTTTTATCGGACGAAATTGAATTAACGCCCCTTTTATCGTTGTTAAAAGATAACCAATACATAGATGCAGTGTGTAAAAGAAGGTAAGCAATTTTAATAAACGATTTAGTTATCGTCAAGTAAACTATATAGTAAAAGGCTGTGGAAATATTTTAAAATGGTTTGTCCGCATTTAGAAAAAGGTAGTTCGAGTGTGAGTAGACAAGGCAATTGTTTGTTTAGTGAAAGTTCAAAGTTTCTACCGTGTGAGCGGCAACCGAAAATTTCATTTATCTTATTTATGAAGCCAGCTCGAGTCAATTAGTCTTTGAATATAATATTCAAAGTGAAGTTTCCTGAAGCTGTCAACGAGTGTTTGTGTCTTTGATAGCTACGCCTGAATATCGCACATCTTTCACGACTACATCGTTTGCATTAAAAAAAAATTAATTTTAAGGGTTCTTATTTTATTTATCGACCACTTGCGTGCGTGGTATTCTGTCCAAAGAAGTTTTGTAAGCCTTCTTACTTTCAGGTATTTTGTTTTAATTGTTTCATGTGTTTCGGAATAAATAAATCCTTTGTGCGACCCCGATTGAGTTTTTATATCAGATTTTTATAATGGCTCCCACGAGTTATTTCAAATAAACTTGTTTAGTAAACTTTTTTGGAATTGTTGATTGAGGCCACCGAGTGTTTCGAATTGGGAAGTTTTAAGTCAATTAGGATTTTGAATAACACTTAGTTTTGTGCGTAAAAAAGGACAAGAACAAATGAAATATATACCGCGCGTACTGTGGTTCCAGAGACGCCATTTCTGCTAACTCCACCCATGGATTTTGACCAGCAATCGAAGATCCTTGAACTCTTGGAAAAAGAAATTCTTCGTTCTGGCTCCATTATGACTACTGTTTCTGTGTTTGTCTACAAGAAGTTTGGTTCAAGCATTTCCTGCATCTTCGATTTTTATAGGCTTTTCATCATCTTACGAAGAATCCAACAGGCTAGAAGGGTCGTACGCGCACCTGCTGCAAGGTGAATGCACAAAATTGTGGTCATTCGATGCGATTCAGACGGTTCATATTTGACAATGTGGACTTCAATATATTTTGGATAGACACCACGTATTCCACGGCACGGAAGGAATTGGGCGCAAGCCTGTTGAGGGCCCAGAACAAGAGAGGGATAATAAATAAATAAATAAATAGCTGTATGGAAAAAATCTGCATTTTCACCATTTGCAGCTGAATGGAATGGTTTTATGGAGTTTGTAACCAGTGGTGAAAAGTAAGAATGCTCGCAAATAGTTTTCCTCCCGCTTGGTCCACACTTTTTCGCCACGCAGTGAGCGGTTGTGATACTGTTTAAGCATACCGTATGGATTGGGGAAGAAGCATATCTGCAGCACCTCCCTCTCTGCAGCAGTAGATCCGTTTCTCACACCGAACGCTATTCCTCAGCAGATCACGAGTTTAACGAGCCGACACTGATAATAACAACCTCGACGACCTACGGTACCGATTATTCACACCATGAGTGACGACTGACGAATGCTAAATTGCAACTAGCCTGCCTACTCCCAACAAGGAACTGTGACGGGACGGATGACATCCGTTTCTGAAATGGCCGCTAGGGGGCGTAACTGCAAACTGGAATCTAAAGTCACTAGATATAGATATATTTAGTGACTTTACTGGAATCTAAAGTCACTAGATATAGAAAGTACCGCAATCATCCGCCATTTTTGGGCAAATTTACTGCCAACTTAAAAAAATTGACAAATAAAATCTGAATAGCTGTAATTTTTTATAACCTAACTTCATAGTACTGTTATGTTTTATAAAAAGATATACAGATATCTCCAAACAGGTGGAACAATCCCTAACATTAAAGTTACTAGAATCTGGTAACTTCCGCCATTTTTGGGCAAAAATCATGCGTTCTCTCTCTAATACACGAGCCCAATGGATTGCGGTACTTTCTATATTTAGTGACTTTATTGGAATCTAAAAAAGTGATGTTTCTGTGAATTCCGCTATATTAACGGTCTTTGAAGTCGACGATAATCTGAACCTTTTTTGTTTGACATATTTTGCTGTATTTCTAAAAATGAAGTGGTAGGGGGTATTCAAAGATTTCCGTAAAGAACACCCTGTATCTTCGAAACGGCTGAGCCGATTTTAACAAACTCGGGTTAATTGAAAAGAGTATTCTTCGGGTACAAATATTATAATATTTGAAGTTTTGTTAATTTCACATTTCGCCGCTTGAGGGCTTTTTTCGATATTCCGACAGCAATGGTTAATTTTCTCAAAAAAATTAAATACGTTGGTTTGATTTTTTTCATGAAAAAGTAGCTAAATGATGCCTAAACAAGCTCGCGAAAACCGCATCTCGATATCTTGTTCCTAACCTAAAATTTAGGGCAAAGCAAATTTTATACCCTCAAATTTTTATTTTTTTAAGCTAATTTTTCCGGAATTATTTTTATTATATAATTTGTGGCCCTAAGGTGGATCGATTTAAAAAAGGAAGCTTTTAATGTCGCCGTAGATGCTCGAAATGCTGACCATCACGATATACGGGGTGTCCATTTTAAAACTTGCAGTCGGCAGCATGAAGCAGCTCAAGTTGAAGTTGTTCGCCAATTTTCCATAAATCCCTCAATGTCAACATTTAGTTTTTTTGTTAATTATTAAAAAAATAAAATTGACTTTATTATGGTGCCCCTGGAAATCATTTTTCAGTAGCTTTCCAATGATGTGTCACAAGTATGGGGCTGCCATTTAGGATTTTTGAAGAGGGGGGCTGAGGGGTTAAGGAGGGTGGGGGGTTATCACTCATAACGTCATTCTAGTTCCCCCTCGATACCCCCGAAACGGTTTTCAATATCTTCTTTAGTTTGGAAAATATGGCCGACTGCAAGTTTTAAAATTGACACCCTGTATATATATCAAGATATCGAGATGCGGTTTTTGCGAGCTTGTTTAGGCATCATTTAGCTACTTTTTCATGAAAAATATATCATACTAATGCATTTAATTTTTTTGAGAAAATTAACCAATTCTGTCGGAATGTCGAAAAAAGCCCTCAAGCGGCGATATATGAAACTAACAAAACTTCAAATGTTATAATATTTGTAGGTGAAGAATAGTTCTTTTGAACTAACCCGAGCTTGTTTAAATCGGCTCAGCCGTTTCGAAGATACAGGGTGTTCTTTACGGAAACCTTTGAATACCACTTCATTTTTAGAAATACAGCAAAATTTGTCAAACAAAAAAGATTCAGATTATCGTCGACTTCAAAGACCGGGCATTTTTTGTTAGGTTATTACCTATAGCGGAATTCACAGAAACGTCACTTTTTTAGATTCCAGATTGCAGTTACGCCCCATAGCGGCCATTTCAGAAACTTAAAAATATTTTCCAAGTTTCTCTCTTGGTTTTATTTTTTACTCGTAGTGTCAGTCTAACATTCTAACCCCACTTTTTCCAACCGTTGTCCACTTGATAAGAAAATACCTGTCCGGAATGTACAACAAAACTTGATAAAAATACAATAATATATTTTTATCACAAAATGTAACATACAAATATACATCCTTACTTAAAAATAATAATAATAAGTACCTAGTAATAAATAATGTATACACGACTAGACTTAAACATGAAGCAGTCTTTACATAAACAATCTCACTATATCTTGTACATTTCATTATATAAGAATAAACAGTTTCATCTTCCTTTTTTTACACCCTGTACAAAGTGTACTAAAATTGAAAATATACACATCCTTCATTTACTATTTTTGTCGAATTACATTTTACATAAACATTCACTAGTCACAAAATAATAGGTAACAACCAATTTCGACAATTTGAGCGTTACATCGCCTAATTTATATTTATTAAAAGTATACTTTTTGAATCCACTTATTAAATGCCACAGTGCTTATAAAAATGCTACTACTTAAGCCTTTTACTCAATCTAACGAATCGAATAGATGGACAATTTTTTAGACCCAATCCTGGCTGAAGCATGTGCAAACACCTTTTGGGCAAAGGGTAGAAATGAGAAAAAAATGATTTCAGTTGGCAGCTTACAGTCAACCTTAAATCCATGTCGGGCAACTGCTTTAATTGTTCACAAAGAAACAGTTGTTTCTTCCACAAATAAAAGCAAAGGCAAAATTGTGCTAAAACATCGCGGCGAAAAAATTTATTTAGATTTGCAAGCGTTCATGTCCGTGTAGCCATATTGTGGAAACTCATTAACTGGTGTGGTAAGCGTGTTGTCGGGTTTGTTTTGCAACTTAACTGGGGTTTCGTAACCCAAGCTGTTTTGCAGATCAGGTTGTGACGTAGAGAGCAGGGCGTCGTTTTTAATTTTTTCCTCTTCCGGTTGCACTACGTTTATTTTGGTAGCGTTCCCGCATTTCTCATAATCTATCGTTTTGTTTAAATAGTTGATGGCCTCCGTGTTGACTTTAACAGTATTCGCCGAGTCCTCCACGTCCACTGCAAATTTTCCAAGTTTAACTGACCTGTGATTAAAGTAAAAAAGATATACCTTCTATGTCCTCCAGATTATCACAGAAGTATCCTCGATTATTGAAAGCGTTGCTAGTGAGATCCAGATATTCAACCTTGTCGGCTAGCATCTTCTCAAATTTCATCGACAACTCGGAAAATGTAGGGCGCTTTTCCGGATCTAAGCTCCAGCAGCTCCTCATCACCTTATACCTAAAAGGAAACCCTGTTAGATTCAAGAAACGTAAACATTCAGAAAACCTACAATACTACAGAACAATTTTCTGGCCTTTCCATTCTGTAACCCGTTTTCAGAAGATGAAACAACGACTGCACCACTATCCCAGGGTAAGGTGACGCGCCTAATGTCACCAGCTCCCATATTAAAATTCCAAAGCTCCAGACGTCCGATTTGTTTGTGTACACGTGATCGGATAGCGATTCCGGTGCCATCCACTTTATTGGAACTAGTATAGAACACAAAAAGTTGTTACACCCCTTGACCCCTAACATTGTTACCATAAAGTTACCTCTGCCTTTACTACGTTTGAAGTATGCGTCGTCTTGGTAGATGTCCCTTGTGAGTCCAAAGTCTGATATCTTGCATACCTTTTCCGCTGCTAATAAGATGTTTCTTGCGGCTAAGTCTCTGTGTACCAACTGCAAATTACATGAATTATTTCTGCATTTTATTAGCACCAGTCTGAGTAAATGAAATACTAGGTAGGTACCTACGTATGAAAAGGTGCGATGCGTAATATCTCACGGCTATCATACTACTTTCTCTCAGATGTTCAATTTGCATTATATGCTGTACACAGTTTATAAATTCATGTTTAGTTCATTACAGCCATAATTAAAAAATATATACTATATACAGTGTGTCCAAGATAAGGATGTCTATCATGGGGATTTTCAAAACCAAATAAGATACGAGGATAGTCAAATTAAAGAAACGGTGCGGAATTAAAATGCTTAAAGAAATCCAGAAAATTCCGATTACTTCCGAAGATATGTTCGGCCACAAAGCCCGAATCGTGCGAGCATATTTATCGGACAAATTTTCCATTTTCCAGGAAATTTCCCCGATAGGTATTCTCACCACCATCCTGTTGAAACCAACAGAGTTGAAAACTTTTGTTTTTTTTTGTGCCGTACATCGTTGTATGTGTAATAAAAAATTCTACTAAATAAAGTATGTACGGTCTATTCAGTATATCTTCCGTTGCACGTCATTGCCTGAAGAAAACGACGTACCAACGTAAATTTACTTTCGTTTATTAGGCAACACATTAAGCTTGTAGTTTATTTTGGCCGCAACAATTGGTAGGATTTCGCTATGTTGTCGCGTTTAAATTTGTAAATTTGACAGGTTGCTTTTGGTTTACTTTTCGTTTGATTTGATTTTGATTATTTTCTACGTCTTTCGCTGTGCATTGGTTTGAAGAGTAATTACTGAAGAATTTTGATAACCCGTCAGTAATTGTGTTCGATAACGGGAAAACAGACAACATTAAAGTGTGGTTAGGAGATCATAATGTGTTCTCCGAAAATGATTTTAAAGCCGAACTGTTGAAAAGGTTGCACAGTAAGTACGTTCGCAAATTATTTGGTATTATCTAAATCTTGTTGATACTTTTAGGAATAAATCAGCTAAAATGTATCGCATAACGCATTGACCACTTAGCCGAGCAATACGGTTACTTCGTTTTACGATTACCACCCTATCATCGCGTTTTTAATCCTATCGAACATATTTGGGGCATAGCGAAAAATTACTTCAATCGACACATGGGTAGAGATGGAGGAAGCATTGAAAATTGCATAAACATGTGACAAGAAACACTACAACCGATAACTTCCGAAACGTGGCGCAATTCAGTTAAGGATACGGAAACTGTAATACACGAGTGGTACGAAAGAGAAAAGCAATTAGATCTTGAAAACGTTGCTACTATTATTATAAACTTTGAACACGAAAGCAGTTCCGATGATTCCGATTAATTTGAATATCATCCATCACATCACATAACCTGTAAAATTTTATATTTAGTACTTTCTCTGTAAAAGAGATGCTACATTTGTACAGTTCATAAGTTATTAAAGTATATTGTATGTATATTGTGGTTCCAATTAACGAAATGAATAATAAAAATTATTTTTATTTTATTTAAGGTGTGGATTGTTCACACAAAGAATGCACTGTCTTGTTGACAAGTGACATAACCTAAATCGCTCAAAACTAGATTTGGCATTATTGCATAGTAATTACGTCACAGAAAATGATGACGTGCAACGGAAGTTATACGGAATAAAGTGTAGGTACTTTTTTTATATGTCACATAAAAAAATAAAGTTGATGATGATTTCTCCGAAACGAAACGTAGCATTAAAAATCTCTTAACGGTGTAGAGATCAAAAAGTGGCAATGCGAAGTGCTTTTTATTGTTTTTTCTGTTTAAATAACATCAGAAAAAAATTAACAAAATCGCTTTCCGAAATGAAGATTCGCCATCTTCAGTACACGACCAATTGTAGAAGGCATTTCTTGTTGACGAAGAGAATCAGATAATTTTTTGAAATGAAGGGACAAATTAATGGAAATGATAAGAATGATAGAAGCGATGAGTCGGAATCAGGGTCAGTGGTTAAAGCTTTTCGTTTCTTAAGTTGTTTCTTTTGGGTAGTCTTTTTGGTTCTGGTTTTTTTGGCATTCCTTTTATCATTTCCCCCACTTTTCAATTACTCAATTGTTTTGTTTTGTTAGTAATTGTTAGAAAGTTATACTGGTTTAGGTTGGTTTTAAAATATTTACTGTAAGTCCAAATAGTACGAGTGCTTAAATTATGGTTCAGTTCTAAACAGACCTAAGCGGAACTACGCCTATTATAATAAATACGTTATTATTACTCTGTCGGTGAGACAATTGCGCCTCTAACGTTGGTTCTGTAAACCGCAGACCATTTCAGCCCCGAATACCAGTGCGCGTTTCCGTAGCCAATCGGTGCCGAGTAATGCCATTTATAGTTTGGTTCGTAGTAGACCGAAAATTAAGAGCTCAGGCAATGAAAAGAGTGAGAGCGTGCTTCTCTACCTGTGTCAACTTGCCTTCAGATTAAGGCATGACAGGCAGTTCGTAACAATGCAAGCGACTTGTTTAGTATTTATTCATGAACAGGAACACCACAACCTCGATTCTGTGCTAGAAACCAAGACTGTCAGTCTGTTATTCGGTGCAGCCTTATCGAGTTTAGTAGCAATTTGACCACAATTTGTTCAGATTATTTTATTCAGATGTTGAGCTACGAAAATTTGGTTCTTACAAATGCATAGATTTGGGTAAAAAAGGGTCTTAACACTAAGGTCTAGGAGTCTGAGTCTGGGAGATGGTGGTGGTATAATAATCAGTGTACAAACTATACAATACAAATAATCATAATTTAAAGTAGCGACTAAACCCGGCAGAACAATTTTGAACAGTAAATTTTGACCTTCCCAAAAATTGATGTCACGTGGTAAGTGAAACTAAAAAAATGAACTACAGTAAAAAATGTTTACATTTTACCTTTATATCGCTGAGGTAAGCCATTCCATTAGCAATTTGCCAAGCAAACGACAATATTTCGTTCGGAGTGATGTCGCAGATTTTCGGTTCGTCGTAGTGCTCCGGCGGCAGCGACAAATTCTGCATTGGATTCGTTTGTATGTGTAAATCGGTGTGTAAATGCCTACTTCTGCGCAAATAGTTTCTGAAATGAGAAATTCATTTTAAGATATAATACACAGAGGGGACATTGATCCATTTATCTAACGCGATGGCAAAGAAAAATTAGTTCACCTTAGAGATCCGTGCTCGGCAAACTCGATGATTAAATAAACGGGACCGCCAGGCACCGTAGAAGCTCCCAGAAGTTTTATAATATTTGGATGCGAGACTTCTTTCAGCAGCTGATACTCCGATAGCAAATCAGCCAATTCCCTTTCACCTGCGTCATTTTTTAGTGTCTTCACAGCTACCGTTGTGTAGCCTAAAATAGAAATAATTGGATAGGTAATAAGCAAGTCAGTGCGAAAGGTAAACTTGGCAATTGCAAGCAAACAGAAATAATGAGAGTTAGTTATTTCTTTGTCGGGCCATTTTTATAGTGTTCAAACGACGTTATCGGTTGCAAAGGAAAAGAGCAATTTATCTTTTCACCGGTTGGAAGGCATAAGAAATGTTGCCCGTTTCCATACCCTGGAGATATTTTTGGTTGTTCCCAAGCTGTTTTATATTGCATTCAGAGTACTTAATTTTAATAGCGTTATAAATATTATGCTTCTGAACCTCGAAGAAAAATATTATTGGTAAATAAATTGAGGAAAATTAGAAGAGGTCTTTTTTATACACTTGATACATTATTAAACTTCAATTTTCCCTAGGTGAACGAGAGCTTTGCGATACATAACAAATCAGGACTTTTATAAAATGCTCAAAATTGAACAATGAATTTGTTGCTATTGGTTTCTTAGTACTAACAGGCCTCGCTGTGTATTTGCGTGTGAAAGTTGACGGTGCCAGGAAACCGTGGCAGAATTATCTGACACTTGTGCAAATGTCAGATCCGCCGTCATCGAGCCTGGTACGCAGTGTGTTTTTTTTGCTGGGTGGGATTTCATTGGTTGAGAAGAAGTTAGCTCATTGGCGGAAAATATTCGCATGTGTTGAATGTCAAAATGTTCCTCTGTATTAGTTAAGATGGCAGGACTTTTGGAGGCCGTTAAGCGGTGCGTTGTTCTGTCCGCAATTTGTTGCTTCCGTTAAAGACGTAATAGAATTTCGTTTGTGTAAAGAGGGATTTTCTTCAAGACACAAATCGAAAAATTGGAGGGATCGCCCAACTGGTCGAAATGGAAGAGGCAAATCGAGTTAATGTTGCATCACCATGAGTTATTTGACCTTGTTATTGACGAACGCACGCTTCCAAATGCACCAACAGAGGGAGCTACAGAGTCGGCAAGAGCGGCGGTTGAAAACACCACCAAAGTTCACAAAAAGGGAGAGGCGCTTGTCCAGCTGAATCTTGTCACCAGCATTCGAACGTTGATCTGACGGCTACCTGTGAAATGTGGCAACATTGGGATAAAGTTTTATCCCGAACAACGCTCGGGTCAGCGGGTAGACAGGCTGATGGAGTTCTTTTTCAGCAACGAGGTAAATCCATTGGAGGATATTGCGTCTCACATTGCACGGCTACAGAAGAACTTTCAGGAGCTCAATGATGAGTTGAAAAGGCTAGTATGAACTGAATTTCTCGATTTGTTGCTGATGAGCCGTGTAATGTCAACACTGCCATCGGAGTATTACGAATTCAAAAGCGTCTGGGAATCAGTGCCGGTGAATGGCCGAACTATCAACAAATTGGCAGAGCATTTGCGGTTGGTAGAGATGCGCTTACCAACAAAACGCGATGACTCGGCAGCATGTGCTTCCGGTGTCATTTACTTGGACATATTGCGAAGAATTGTGCTAAGAAAGTCATTGTAAATTCGCAAAGGACGAAGGTGGACGATGATTTTTGGTTAGCTGACTCCGCCTCGGCGCATATGACCAAGTGTACAGAATATTCCGATGAGTACGTTGCATTTGCTATAGCAAAACAAGTGCAAATGTGCTACAATGAAGTGATTTCAGCATATGGACAAGGAACAGTAAATGAAAAATGAGAATCGCAGGGCATAGGCAAAGAAATGTGCCGAAAATCGGGAGGATTTTATTTTCTACCGGTGAGACGTTGAACAAAGGCTTTAACTTCAAAGCAGATCGAAGTGCGTTTTCAAAAAATGGAGTAGTATGTTTGGCCGGGAAAAAGACTACAAAAGGACTATATGCTGTGAGGATGCGGCTGCTAATGCCGGAATTTGCAGGGGAAGTTTTTGTAGCAACAAGAAGCTGAAACACCAGTGATGGAATGGGTGACACGTGAAGAAGCAAGGAATTGAATGTGCAAAACTCTTGTGCAGATAAAGTGCATTTTTTAAACCGAAATTACTTAGTAAACGGTTGGATAATAAGGTAGTAGCATGCTATCGATGTTTACTTTCTTGGTAGATGATTAATGGGCAGGAGGCTGTTACACACAAACATAGAGTAGAGATTAATTTCTTTCGTTGAGACCTTTGATTAGAGTACCATGAAAGATATGAAATATGAACCAGTTTCACTCCCCCCCCCCTACACTTTTCATAAGGGTCAGAAAGAAGCGCAGTAGTTGGTAGAAAACGGCTCCTTTTGTTGCGACCTTTAATTAGAATACCATGAAAAATAAAATTAATTCCCCCCCCCCCCCCCCCCAACCTACTGATCTAAAAAAAAAGTCGCGCAGGAAAGTGATAGTGTTTACAAACCAATTTATTTCAATGAAACCTTTGTTTAGAATACCTTGAAGGGTAGAACGTGTGCATACCCCCCCCCCCTAATTTTCTAAATTTTAACATCTCACAAAATAATTCATGCCCGAATATTTGTTGCTGAAAACCAGACAACGTAATAGTGCAATTAAAAAGAGCCTACCATTCGTACTTAGTTCAGTTATTTATGCAATAGGGAGCTACATGTACCTACATAAATGTAATTAAACTCTATATATGCTGAGAGATTCTGGTAAAAGAATAACAATATAACAGCAAGTGTAATTAAAAATAAAAAAGAGGAATTTTACAATTAAATCGTTTGCGTGGAAGCCGACAGTATTAAAGATAAAACTCAAACACTAACCTGGCTGTCCTCCAATGCTTAACGCTTGTGCCCTGAGCACCCTTCCGAACTCTCCTTCACCAAGTGTCTGCTCAATTTTCAGTTGGCCTCTTGGGAATTCCCATTTAGGATCCGGCTGCATATAAAATTACATTACCTACATTATTTAATTGCATAAACTCGGAGATGATGGTCATGTATAACTCCCGGTTGCTTTTTAACTCTTTGCACATAAAAACCGTTCCTGTATCTACCTTCGTATCTGAACGCAGAATAAAACTCTTTGAAGTGGGATTCGTTAGAGGTTCGGCATATTTGATTAGGGCTAACTATGGCTAGCATTGTCTGGGAATCCCTCGAATATGCAAATTCTAGCAAATAATGGGTAGGTAGATTACTGTTTAACGATGTAAAATCAATATTTGTATGGTCGACCGTATTTACTTCGAGATATTATAAAAATCAAAATTTTATTAAAAAAAAACAAGCCGCTGTCATTCATAAACAAAACACCGTTAAGGCGTTAAGGGTCTAAGGAAGGGACGATTTGTTTACTCTACCAGGAGGTTGTCAGTTCCTCCCTGGTGTATGGCAGTACATGCTGCTGTCTGGCGAATGGAGGGTTTTGGGGCTAGTGCCAACCGAAGAATCTTTTTGGTACGCTCTCTCATAGACTGTATATGTTATTGCCATCTCTCGCTGGTTCGCAAACTATAACGACTTTAAAAAGTCAACAAGGAGCGTTGAGACTGGGTGGATGGTAAACGAATCAAATGAGTTAATGATAAAAATGGCCGATTTACTTAATAAAGAGCAATTTTTGGAGCGTTAATTAATTAGAAGTAGGGATGCGCCACTAGGAGTCTACTGAGCGGAAAATCAATTTCAATTGTTACGGGACCTTAATGCGGATAGTATACATATTTTACTGAAAGATGTCGCTACAGTAAACTAATTTTTTGAAAAGCACATGTGCAAGAAATGCTACATATGCATACTTTACTGTCGCACTTCACATCCTTTGCATAGGGTTAATTAGTATAGTACTATGCAATCAGAAAAAAAGTCAAGTCAAGTCACCTTTGGAATTTTTGTTTACATGGTAAATCGTCTTAAGGCGGGTTCATAGCTCTCCGTTCATCCGTTGCGTTGATCCGTCAAACGGATAGTACATTTTGTTAAGGTTCATAGCAATCCGTCCACATTGTACATTTGCAAGTATAACCATAACCTAAAATTTATTTTGTACTGTACCCTCCGTGATTTTCAGTATGTGAAAATAGTACGAAAGTAAGAACACATTGCTGTCTGATTATTACCGTGAAGAACGAATAGGCGAACACTCTTAACATACCAAACATAACCTCACTCTTGTTAAAAACGGACCAACGGAAACGTAAATGTTCAACTTCAACCAACTTTTCCGTCGTAAACGGACGACGTACGATTTAAAAATTTGCTGTTTTCTGATTGGTTAACGGACAAACGGAAACGTACCTATGAACGGAGAGCTATGAACTTACCTATAGACCATATAGTACATGGACTGCTATTAAGGTGGGTTCATAGCTCTCCGTTCATCCGTTGCGTTGATCCGTCAAACGGATAGTACATTTTGTTAAGGTTCATAGCAATCCGTCCACATTGTACATTTTCAAGTATAACCATAACCTATACTTTATTTTGTACTGTACCCTCCGTCATTTTCAGTATGTAAAAATGGTACGAAAGTAAGAACACATTGCTATCTGGTTATTACCGTGAAGAACGAATAGGCGAACGCTGTTAACGTACCAAACATAACCTCACTCTTGTTAAAAACGGACCAACGGAAACGTAAATGTTCAACTTCAACCAACTTTTCCTTCGTAAACGGACGACGTACGATTTAAAAATTTGCTGTCTTCTGATTGGCTAACGGACAAACGGAAACGTATGAACGGAGAGCTATGAACTTACCTTTAGCCCTATGCTTTCAATACCAAATGGGTGGTCACGGATAGAGGGCACTGTAGTTGTGGGTATGTGAATCTCAGGGTAAACTAAAGTCGTATGAACACCACTCGGATCGCGTAAAGCGTAGCTTTTATATTATAGTAACCGCGTAGTACGGGAAGCTTTAAATACACTTGATTATCTTCTATACGTCCACAAATAAGGATAGGTTTGCTTTTTTGGCATATCCAAACGATTAATTAATTGACGTTTGTTAATTTATAGGTTGACAGTGTCAAATCGTTTCTAATCGGACAAACTTCGGTCATACTCCTTTACCCTTAAACTCACATACCCAGGCGATGTCCTTGACCATATTTTAGTTACAATTAGCAGTCCATGTACTATATGGTCTAAGTAAATCGTACTTAACTTGAATTTTCAAAGGCGATTCGATAGCAACTCATCTTTGATCGCCCGTTATAGTATTGTATATACAATGGTAGTAGGTACAATATATAGGTCAATAGGTTAAGGTTTTATTCGCAAGCGAGCGTGACTTACCTCCGCCCCGGTGGTAAATCCCATTATTGTTGTTACATTGAAGTTAAAATTCAGGTTTTCGGTCGGAGCCGAACGGTCGACGTAATCAGACAGTGGAACAGACAGATCAGTGGTGTCGTTTGAAAACTTCTCGCGCACCATCCTACGTTTCCGATACTGCCTGAAGCATATAATCATTCCGCATATAATGGTCACCAAGACCACTGCAGATCCGGTTATACCCAGGATACACTTGGTGCCACACGCTGAAATGTCTACACCTGAAAGACGAGCACCGTTAAAATGTGATTTGGGGCGCAACCTCCGCTTACCGGTGCGTCTGCTCACATTCGATTGAACAATCGGAGGCGAAAAACTGGAGTTATTTGCAATGGTCGCGTTGCGTTCTGGAGCTCTGGTCGTTAACGGTTTTGGTTTAGCTTGCCTTTTCTCGGCCATATCGCACAGGCAACCACCGGACGGGTTACACGAGCAAATTCCCGCCCCCACATCAAATCCTCGTCCCGTCCTGGGATTTCGTTGCAGTGGAAATACAACTTCGGCTATAAATAAAAGTGAACGTACCCATACTTTAGACAGAACTTCTAACCTGAACAATCCTGTGGGCATATCAGAGGTGAAAGATTTTCCAGCGAATCGCAAACGCCGTTGGGACAAGTGTCAATGTCGGGCGTGCATGTTGCGTATAAATGCGTTTGCTCGTTTCCAGGATGTGGATCTCCTCTCCACATACACCTCTCCGGATTGTTAATGATTTTTCTGAAAGATTCCCGATTGATGACAGGGAACACTTCTATAAAACCTAATTACCGCCGCTCGACTGCGGGTGCTCCTCCTGTGGAGATGCCACATCCTTTATTGCAATCCTTTTTACTTCGATAAAACGCGCACATGTTCCAATCTCTTGTTGAGGGGCCCCGGTCGTGACAGGTGTGGTTTGGCTCGTTGCTTATTTTTATTACAATATTGTCCGTTTGTGTAACTTTATTGTTGAGCCATTGTACTGTTACACTAAAAATGCAAGAATGATTCTTGTTTAGTTAAATATTAAAAACAATACGATGCATACAATGATATTTTTAATAAATTAGTTGTAAATTATTTGTTTACTATATTTTATTGTTTTATTTTGCTTTAAATTTCTATTTTGTCTCCATTTTAATTGTACTTTATTATTATTTGATATTTTTACATTACTCACTCTAATATATAGTCAGGATTTTAGTGCCCGATTTGTTTGTATTCCTGACCTACTACACAACATATCATTATCATTTTGGTAGAAACTTACCGTACGTGTGATGCCGCTTCCCGCATTTTCATGACGTTTTTAACGTAAACGATTCCTTCGGTTTCCGTTATAGCGAACGCTTCATGTGAAGTATCATTTAAGATTGAAAATGATGATATCCCCTTACGTAGGTTCATTTTAAGGGGCTGTGTCACCCTTGCATATGGTGCTGCGGTTCTGCAACAGATCAGATTCATTCACTGTTTATCTAAATAGATTACCTTAAAATCATTTTCAGATTGGCCATACCTAAATGACGTAGAACTTATTATTGTGAGAAATGCCGGCGGGAGTAGGGTGCCGGATATCGTGATTCATTGCGCGTGAGTGTTAAAACCTCAGTGATTGAAAGGTTTAATCGAACAGTGGAAAAGCGAATGTATCGCCAACTTTCTACCGTTACTGTATCATTCGACAGCGGCGTTTTGTTGTTTCGGCTTTAGTACATGTATGTCTTTTGCGCATAATTAATTTTAGATTATATTTGTCATGACAACAAAGCGGTACGGGTGGTTCGGACTTTAATCTCAATTTTACCTAATCTAAGGGGTTGTCAGTTTATGTATAGCTAGTGGATTGGTTCGAAACTGCATCTCTTACGATTTTGACCTCATAAAATAAAATGATCAGAAACATTTAAGACTTGTGTTGTGTTGTGGAAGCACATAAGAAGGCCTTTTAAAAAACCAGCTTTCTGTAACAATTAAGTAGGTATGTCAAAGAACTGAGAGGTAGAAAGGATCAAAATAAGATTAGAGCTAAAATTTCGCATTTTCAAACTACGTCTTCAAAAGGTCCAACACTGTTCTCCCTTAATTGTAAGTAATCCCTGGCGATCCCAGTAGATACACAAGGGTGAACCTGGACCAGTTCAAGATTGCTCGGTACCTGGTGGCGACCTTGGAAAGCATTTTAAAATGAAAATCGCGTGCCGCGTGGCGGTAATCTTGGAAAGCAGATCAAGATGCAAGGGCATTCGCTTTGAAGGTTATCAAAGGTCAGTGTTATCATATTTCATTTCCAAGGTTACCGAAGGCTAACGACTCTATTTTTTGCGGTACCACATTTTACTTCCAAGGTCATAAAGGTCAAAGAGTTCATTTTTGTAATGTCATTTAATTTTCAAGGTCATCAAAGTTCAACGATTAATTATTATTAATAATTTAAAATAATTATTAAACATACGTCAATAAATAAATAAAAGAAATAATTTCTTAAGTTCATTATTTGAAGGGAAAATGTTGAACCCATTTTCCGCGGGAACGACCGAGCGGAGTCCTGATCTACTTTCCACCTGACACTAGACTTGAACGACTGAATAGTGCGTTGACCTGACATCCTAAAATAGAGAGAGGGTTAGTGTTCAATTACCTACCGAACAAGGTTTTGACTTATTTTCCGAGGATATTACGTGGCAGCCAGGAGGGGCGAAACGCTTAGGAGTGAACGACCCAAACGACCTCTGAGTTTAATCTCAACTCGCTTCTGATTGCCTTGAAAATGAAAAAAATAAGTCATTAACTTCTAATGACCTTGAAAGTAGTAGAATATAACACCGCAGAGAAATGGGGGTCATTGATCTTATATGACAATGAATTGTGACACCGCAAACATGAGGCTAATGACAAAAGATAAAAATGAGGTCGTTGAACTTTAATGACCTTGAAAATAAAATATGAGATTGCAGAAATAGGGTTATTGACCTTTAATGACCTTGGCATGTGGCACTGCAAAGATGAAGTCGTTGAGATTTGGTAACTTTGATGGCAATTCGACCTTTTACCAGTTAATTCTGGTCCGAAGTGGACCAAATGGCACCGTATGCCTCAGGAGTCAAACGTACGGGCAATGCATATAGCAGTCATGCTACTAATGTTGATAATATTCCCTTTATCAATTTGACGAGTAACAATCGAATATCTTTTAAGACATCTCTATTCCATTACGCAAATTTGAAAGGCATTGCGCCCGTTTGCCAGGTCAGATTAAAATCCATTCTGGCATTGGGTAGCAGATAATCTAACTTTTTCTGGTTAACGTAGCATGGGGCTTACTCCTGTTGGATTAGCTCCCCGGACCACGTTTAATGGTCTACCCTCTCACGCATGTGGACAATTCCTTCGTCCATCTATATATTTCGCTGTCCGGGCAACAATTCAGGTATTAAAGAACAACCCGGTCCAAGGACTACGCACTGAGTCCCCACCTGAGCTATGCCTGCAACAACGAGGAGCATGAGGGACACAACCGATCATCTGAAACCAGCATCTTCCAGTGGCGCTCAAACAACTTGCGGCAACAAAACAACCGCCCAACTACCCAACCACCTAAAAACGAAAATTCGCTTCTAAATAGCTTGCTATAAGTGTGAAAAGGGTTAGTTTAAATCAAGATTGGGAATAGGAAGTTGGCACCCCTCATAGCACTTTCCGAAGAGATCATTTGACATCTGAGTCATGGCGTACTCCATGCCTTTGTTTTGAGTACCGTGATTATACCATTATTTTGTTTTGTTAAGTTTTTATTTCTGTATTCACGAGGAGTTGATTATCAGTGCGATGTTACTCTGTCCGATTGATTCGTAGCTATTCCGTCAGATAAGTACCTGCAGTTCTTGTGCGTTAGTTATACGGCTCTCTTATTTGATGTTTCGATGTTTGTGTGTGTGAGTGGTTCATTCTGTCTCCGTGGGTGGAATAGATACCTAATACAGTTTGACCTTTCGCTGTATCTGTTGCCTACTCGTCTCGTGCGGATTGCAGTGCTTAGCATCTTAGCAATGCAAGATATTTAGGGGCCTTCTCATTAACATTTCCTTTATTTAAAATATGTTCTGATTGAGCGATAATCGATTTTCACATGAATACTTGCTATTGGCATTCTCACATGTACTTTTCGTGTTAAATAAAATTATGTTAATGAAGGCTGGAGTAGAGCCACACCATTTCAATGATTCCTATTGATCTTACAGGTATTTTGATGTGTTTTTGTAGCGAATTGATGTATCATGTTTTACACTGCATTTATGATGTCTTGTGTATTTTGTTTTTATGAACTTGTTTAATTGCATTTGATTTGATTATTATTATTGCTGTTGGTGTTGGTTTTTGTCCCATAGAAGGTTTCCCTGGCATGGTCTTATTGTGTGCGTAATATTATAATATTATAACATTATATTCATTTCTTCTTGATGTTGGATGTTGAATCGCCCAAGGTATTGATTGTAGGGAAGAAAAAACTGACTTTAGCTGACTAGCGGCGGATTACTTTACCTTTGTTCCGATGCTTTCACCGCCTAATAAAAAAGTAATGAAAGTAAGTAATAAAAACATCGTCGCGAAATATGAGAATTCCTAATGATCCCTAATTAAGGCGTGATCCATCCTCTTTCTTTACATAAATATTATTGTCCACCGCCTATTTATAATAGGACCTTAATGGATTTTATAATTATGCGTTCTTCATAAAGCTAGGTAATGTGTTATTAATTGTGCGTACGCTGCGCCATTTCATGCACAAGTTCAAGTTCAACTTACCTGAAAATCGTTACCTCGCGATGCGGATATAGAAGTAGTGGCAGTGAGAGATCAGTTGGCGGCATCGTCAGGGCGAGAGCTTTGGGAAACTCTTCATATCTTTCGAAATATACTCTTATAGGGACGCTTATCTGTAAACAAATGCATAAACGTTTCAGTCGTATGCGAACAGTAATTTCGAAACAGTAATAGAGGAGCATGATACGTTTTACCAGGAGGAGTTGACTCAACAGAGTGTAACTAATCTTTATAAATGTGTAATATGTGTCTCATTAATTTTACCATGTGAGAAACTGAGACTGAATTACCTACTGAACCTGGACACACAGGAGATTAGAAAATGGATGAGTTAATGAATGTTCCATATTGTGTTCCAGCATCTGTTATTGGATGAACGTTTTGGGTACATTATAACAATATGCGACGTGGTCTATTTACACTTTTCTCTTTTCGATTCATTCACGCAATGTAATAAAAAAGGGGGTGGGTACAAAGTTTTCCTTTACTTTTAATGTCCCCTGTTATACGATCTCGAGCGACCCTCCTCCATTAATTTGCGACACATCGTAATGTGTCTTTCGAGGCAATACTATTTAACAAAGGTACTTAAGCATATGGGGACCGAAATAGTAAGTGGTAAATGAAACTAATCCGTTTCGTAGAAAATATTTCAACTAAACTTTTCTTTCACGCACGAATGAAAGTTTATTGATTAATTGTATCACAATAGTAAAACTCGTTAGATGAAATCCATAGTGAATTAGGATTTATTTCAGAGCGACTATAAAGACCCATATCCATTAGTGGAGGTATATAAAAGGAAGGCAATTACAATTGTTTGTTATTTGTTTTGGTCGCTTTCAAGGTCAAACAAACAAAATCGTTCCGATTTTTTTTCTACGCATTTGCCGATGAGAAGTTCGAATTCATAATTTTATGATACATATTTGCAAAAAACGAGACGTTTTGGCAAAAATGAATATATTACGTGGTTTTTACATAAGTGTTTGATTTGTATAAGATAAAAAGTGATACATCAGATCTATTCTTGAATCTTTGAGAACCTCTAGTATTTGGGAGTGGTTTTTAAGTAGGTTATGGACCCAGAATTCCATTAGTTTTATTTATTCGCATCTTTGTCATCACTCATCATTCATTTAAACAAATGTACCTACTTGAATTTATAATTTTACTGTAATTGAAGTAGTCTCAATTTTATTTGTGACATTGCTAAATGTCAACAGGTGGAATAAATTCAGCTTAGGTACTACCTACTTATGTATGTTTTATTTTTCAGGTGATCTTTGTAACAGGAGACTTCAAAAGAAATCAATATTTCGTAAAGCATTGTAATTCTGCTTTTAGTTCGCTCTTCATTTCTAGTTTATGAATTTATGAACGATAATAGTTTCTGCAATTCTTGCATTCGTATACGTAGATGATTGATTAAAGTTACACCGTGCACTCGTGTTGCGTTCCACGTAACAGTGACAATCCGGCAAGGTTGAGCTTGATTTGGTTTCGGTTTTTGTGTTTCAGTAAGACTGTTAAACAAGTACAAATTGTGCACAGCCCTTGTTCATACAAAGCGCATTTTTTTTAAACACCCCTACGAAATTTATTCCATAAATAAGAAAGTTGGCACTGCACATCTTACACAAAACCAATTTTGAAAAATGGCGTTACATTTGCTTTTATTCCAAGTAGCTATGTATCAAATTTCATTTGAATGCCTCCATAAGAAAGTTGGCACTGCGCATGCGCAAAACAAAATTTTGAAACTGGCGTTAAATTTGGTTTTATTCCAAGTGGCTATATATAAAATTTTATTTAAATGCCTCCATAAATAAGAAAGTTGGCACTGCGCATTGGCAAACAAAATTTAGAAAATGGCGCTACATTTGCTTTTATTCCAAGTGGTTATGTATCAAATTTCATTTAAATCCCTCCATAAATAAGAAAGTTCGCACTGCGCATGCGCAAAACGAAATTTTGAAATTGTCGTTAAATTTGGTTTTATTCCAAGTGGCTATATATAAAATTTTATTTATATGCCTCCATAAATTAGAAAGTTGGCACTGCGCATGCGCAAAACGAAATTTTGAAACTGGCGTTAAATTTGGTTTTATTCCAACTGGCTATGTATCAAATTTTATTTAAATGCCTCCATAAATAAGAAAGTTGGCAGCGACAGCGAAATTTGATGGCCATCTCACCTTCAAGGTATAGGCTACCTACTCCAACAGATTCCAGGACTCTAGGACCATTCCCCTAGAAGTGGTTCAAAACTGTAGATGTGGGTCCGGACGGACAAACCGCAAACAATAGCACATTTTTTTTAATTCTTAAAAAATGCGCTAAAAAGAAAAGTATACTCTACCCGGATGGTAATAATTTCATTAAGTTTAAAGAGTTTACTTACAAAGTTTGTGCCTAGAGGGTGTTAAAACACTAGATTTAAACATCTTTTTCTTGAAGTTATCTAATTTAAATTCGGCCGTTGCCATAAGAATTTCCTTATCGCCGCGTTAAGGTAATTAAGCGTTGTCGCAGAAACACAGATGCAGTTTGTTCGTTTAAAGACGCACGTTATTTTGTTAAAGAAGGATAGGCGGAAAGTGTAAAAGGGAATAATGTTCTTAATAAGCAAACCGGGTGTGAATCGAGGCTTTTTGGTGGTGGATGTTTGAACCGTAGCCGTTTGTTTTGTCGTATTTGAAAGGACAGTCTGCCTTGTCTAATTGTAAAGTTGTGTAGAAAAAAGCTAAAGTGTTTTACCCACGTCTTGATAAAAGTGAACGTTAAGTAGAGTGAAGCCGAGGCGTGTTTTCCCGTTTACGAAGAAGTTTAGTCGGTTATTGACCGTTTCTCGTTGAAGAGAAGGTTTTCAAGTTATCAGTTAAGGTTCAGAAGCAGTTCCGTTTTTGTGTTAGTGCGTCTGTTTCTTGCAAAGCGCAGTTATGATTAGATGACGATAAATATTATTTAACTTACGGGTATTAAAACTTTATAGAAATTTAATTTGTTTAATCGATCGCTTGTTGCGTGGTACATGCGTTATCTGGCCCTGAGTGCCGTTCTTTCTTTCAGCGGATTGATTTACGAGTATGTCAAATAAATTTGTTTTACCTGTAAATGGTTAGTTTTTGTTTTGTGTCGAGCCCAAATTACGATCTAGTTAAGAGTGTTCAAGTTAAGTTGTTGTATTTTGTACCCGGTATTACTTTAGGCGTTAATTAAAAACGTCTAATTAATTTCTCAAATCAATAAAATTTAGGTCAATATCGAGATTTTCGACGTGGCGGAGGATGGACTTGCCCTAGAAAAACTATAATTACTTTTTCTAAAGGTTATGTTAGTATCTGAGCTAGCTGGACAGGTGCTTTGAGTATATACGAGAGGACGGTTCCAAGAAATGTAGTGAAACTGTGTGGGTGTGGTATAAACGGGAAGAAATTTTTGACGAATTGACGTGGGAAACTGTTCTGACCGCTCGATTTGAGGTGTCGCTTTAGACTTTAAAGATTTTTTGTTAGTAGATTAGAGAAAATTTGGTGGGAGAGAGGAAACTATACAAGTCGAGCACAACATTTTTAGAGAGCATAACATATATTTTCAATTGAAAGCAAGACGAGTTCGTATAATCGAAAAATACAAAAAAAGAACTGTTAGCTGCGATATCATACGGGATAGTTTAGTGCGAAAGTTTGCAGGAGAACGCTGATATAATTTTCAACCGTGAATGGTATGTAAAAGCGAACAAATTCGTTTTGTTGCAGTAGCGGAGTGACGCGTTCGCGTAGAAATAAATTGTCACTACGAAGGCGTTGTGGTTAAATTACAGAACGCGCGTTTATCCAGTTTATCAATCAAATTTGTGCACCTATTTTGTTTATACGAGGTGCTAATGAGATTCTGAATGGCAACCGGTAAAAAAGGTTAAAGACAATTAATTCGTGCTTTTGTTGTCTGTTATAAGGGTAAATGTTGACATTTCTATACTGTGGAACATGGATAAATTATAATAAACTAAGAAGAAGAATAAACCAAATTTCCACAAATAAATTACGAGACCTCAAGCACAGTTCGTTCCTGATTCAAATTCGTCAATCATCGTTTGAAATTCATTTTCAAGGGTGAACCAAATTTTACCAGACGTTCACCATCCAATTTTCTGAATTGCGGCTACCTTTCCAAAGGAGAGAATCAACTGTCAATTGGAAAAAACCTCGACGCATCGATAAATGTAGGTTAATTGAATTTTTTGCATAGCGTAACCACAGAAATTGATTGTTTTGGAAGTTTGTATAAAAGTAGGGAATGCAATACCGGGATCGCGGGATCCCGAAATACCGGGATCCCGCAGCCTTTTTGCGGAATTAATCCCGTACGTAAATGGAGCGGGATCCCGCGGGATTTGTGGGATTGCAGAATTTATAGACCAAGCTTACGACCATACATTAGCAACTTTGCGAATTTCATTATTTCGCACATTTTTGTTGGTGCAGTTCATGCAATAATTACGCGCAAACCTGTATTTATTATTAACTTTGTTAAACAGCGAGTGAGTGCGCAAATCGGACTTATTTTACTACTGTTTTAAAACGCAGGAACCGTTATCCTTGTAGACAATATGTCGGACTCGTCGATTGTTTATAAAAGATGTATGGAAATATTGCAGCGAATATTCTAGAAATCCAGATATACATGGGCCATAAAAGATAACGCACCGGCGACAAGAAAAGACGATGGATGTGAGGCATTCTTTCCGCGAAATAGAATGTGTTTTCTTGAGAATATTCCGTTAACTGCACAAAATTGCTTATTTCCGAATGTTTTTAAAATTTTGCTGGATCCCGCAAGTACTGGGATCCCGCGGGATTACTATCTAATGATCCCGCAATTATCGGTTAAAATTAATTTTATCTCTCATTGTATTATAATTAAAGGTCTCAACGAAAGGAACCGTTTTCTACCAACTACTGTCCTTCTTTCTGTCCTCTTTTGTGGAGAGGGTTGGGGGGGNATGTCGTGTGAAAATATATTTGAATGTTCTGCTATTGCAATTCACAATATCAGCATTGTAAATATATATAGATCACCATGCAGTCAATTTGATTTATTCGCCAATAAACTTACCGAATTATTAGCGAAAATTATCAAAAATTATGAAACTGTCATTGTTACCGGTGACCTAAACGTTCACAAAGACAATTCCAAACAGTTTAACGCCCTACAAGACATCTTCGAGTCGTATAACATCCATTCCATTATCAACACTCCAACAAGGATCGCCACTATAGGAGGCAGAGCAACCTCATCATCAATTGACTACGTCGTCACAAACGCGATAAAATTCGACTGGGACAACTATGACCCGGGAATATCGGACCACAACGCACAAACCATCACCATCCCGCACTCAACAAAAATGAACACTGCTATTGATATCGACAAAACCAGAGTAGTCAAATCACGAAGCGTCAACCCCAATAATGTCCAATTCTTCAACCGGTTATGGGACAGCGATCCCCCACACCTTAACACAGGCAACGGCAATATAGACTTCGAGAATTTCTATAATCATTTCAAATGGTGCGCAATCACAGCGTTTCCAGAAAAACTACATAAAATACCAACACAAGCAAATCGCAAGATTCCCTTTTCGCTATAGACTTACGGGAAAAAATCAATAAGTTAAAAGATCTCAATCGACTGAAGAAAGTAATAACCAACGAACGAACAACTTACCTCACAATGCAAATCCCTGCGAAAAGTTGTCAATAACCAAATAATGATTGAAAAGCAATCATATTATGGGACAATTATCTTTCGCTCAAGTAATAAACAAAAATCCCTGTGGAACATTATAAAATATATAAATCAGTCAAACCCCCAAACAAAAATAAGTGAAATTAAACTAAGTGCACACACTTTTTGGGTCCAAATTGGGTATTTGGACCCAAAAAGTGTGTGCAATATGTTCGGCAGTCACTTCTCAAACCGAGTGGCGATTTCCAAGAAGAAAAATAGTGAAACTATCTTCGCATCTTCAGTGTATGAACGGGAAATACTTGATATTATACAGAAACTGCCCAACAAAAAATCCTCGGGTTATGACGGTATAACCGCACAGATCTGCAAAGCCTGCGCCCAAACCATCTCAAGACCCCTAGCGGATTTAATCAACGCCTCGATGTCTCAAGGAATATTCCCAGCACACTTAAAAGTGGCATTAATTACACCCATATACAAACAAGTTAAAAAGTAATCGTAAACGATTTACATAAAGCGCATTTCCACTTGCATTCATTTCCCATTTGTAAGATGCAAGTTCTGTTAAGATCGTAAAAATCCGGCCACAAACATGAAAGATAGCGTTGCACATGAGCAATCCATTTTTGACATGCTATTTCAATTTCAGTTTATAAGAATTTCATTTCAATGCTTTTCTAAATAAGAAAGTTGGAACTGCGCATGCGCAAACCTAAATTTTGAAACTAATGTAAGATTTTCCTTTGTTCCTAGCGCCTAAATATCAAATTTCACTTAAATGCTTCCATAGATAAAAAAAGTTGGCACTGCGCATGCGCAAAATAAAATTTTGAAACTGGCGCTAGATTTTCCTTTAATCCAAGTGCCAATGTATCACATTTCATTTAAATTCTTCCATAAATAAAAAAAGTTGGCACTGCGCATGCGCAAAACCAAATTTTGAAACTGGCGTTTGATTTTCCTTTATCCCAAGTGCCTATGTATCAAATTTCGTTTAAATTTTTCCATAAATAAAAAAGTTGGCACTGCGCATGCGCAAAACCAAATTTTGAAATTGGCGTTTGATTTTCCTTTATTCCAAGTGCTTATGTATCAAATTTCGTTTAAATTCTTCCATAAATAAAAAAGTTGGCACTGCGCATGCGCAAAACCAAATTTTGAAATTGGCGTTTGATTTTCCTTTATTTCAAGTGCCTATGTATCAAATTTCATTCAAATACTTTTATAAGAAAAAAAGTTTGCAATTCGGTTTATAAATGGTCGAGATGCGAAAAGGGCACTGTGAATTTTGAATCGATTCGACTCAACTTTTGGCATTGCGTATTATATGGCTAAGGCATGCCCATATTGAATTTCATGCAATTCAGTTCATAACTAACGGAGATGTAAAAGCGATCGGACATTTCTAAACAAAATTATCGTTCACACGGACAGATAGAGGGACAGACAGGCAAAGGAACAGACGGACAGACCAACAGACAGACGACAGACAACAATACAAAATTATAAGTGATCTCTAGGATGGTTAATAAACGGCAAAAGTGTAAAATTATGGAACATGTAAACAAGTTAAAAAGTAATCGTAAACGATTTACATAAAGCGCATTTCCACTTGCATTCATTTCCCATTTGTAAGATGCAACTTTTGTTAAAATCGTAAAAATCCGCCCACAAATATGAAAGATAGCGTTGCACATGGGCAATCCATTGTTGACGTGCTACTTCAATTTCAGTTTATGCGAAGAATTTCATTTCAATGCTTTTTTAAATAAGAAAGTTGGAACTGCGCATGCGCAAACCTAAATTTTAAAACTAATGTTAGATTTTCCTTTGTTCCAAGCGCCTAAGTATCAAATTTCACTTAAATAGTTCCATAGATAAAAAAGTTGCCACGGCGCATGCGCAAAATAAAATTTTGAAACTGGCGCTAGATTTTCCTTTATTCCAAGTGCCTATGTATCACATTTCATTTAAATTCTTCCATAAATAAAACAGTTGGCACTGCGCATGCGCAAAACCAAATTTTGAAATTGGCGTTTGATTTTCCTTTATCCCAAGTGCCTATGTATCAAATTTCTTTTAAATTCTTCCATAAATAAAAAAGTTGGCACTGCGCATGCGCAAAACCAAATTTTGAAATTGGCGTTTGATTTTCCTTTATTCGAAGTGCTTCTGTATCAAATTTCGTTTAAATTCTTCCATAAATAAAAGTTGGCACTGCGCATGCGCAAAACCAAATTTTGAAATTGGCGTTTGATTTTCCTTTATTCCAAGTGCCTATGTATCAAATTTCATTCAAATACTTTTATAAGTAAAAAAAGTTTGCAATTCGGTTTATAAATGGTCGAGATGCGAAAAGGGCACTGTGAATTTTGAATCGATTCGATTCAACTTTTGGCATTGCGTATTATATGGTTAAAGCTATGGCCACAATAGCGCATTTTTTTTTATTTTTGTGGAAATGCGCTAAAAAGATGACTCGACTCTGGTCGAAAATTACAGACCCATCTCCGTACTGAGCATCATTTCTAAAATATTCGAAAAAGTCTTTAGCGGCAAATTATGGTCGTTTCTTGACAAACACCATATCATCTCTAACAGACAACACGGTTTCCGCCCTGGATTCTCTACAGAATCCGCGAATTTGCAATTCATTCAGCATCTCTACGACGAGCTAGATAAATCTTCGATACTTATCACACTACAATTTGACCTCACAGGTGCATTCGATTACGTGGATCCTGCTATCGTTAGTGAAAAAGCAGAAGCGTATGGAATTAGAGGAGTTTTTAATGAGTGGCTTCAATCATATTTGACGGGGCGAAGCATCCGAGTGAAGTATAATGGATCGATATCGGATACGTACAACCCAGATTTTTTTATTTTTTATCAATGACCTTCCTCAATTTATTAACTTTGGTGAACCGTTTATTTACGCCGACGACACTACAATCGTCATTAGTGGAAAAACTGTAGAAGAAGTGAGAATGAAAGTTAATGACACTCTATAATTCGACCAATGGTGCTCGCGGAACGGACTGTTAATTAACTACAACAAAACGACATTTATCGAAATACTTCCCCCTGGTTTAAGCGCAAACGATCTCCAATTTAACTTAAAAAACAATTCGATCCCTAAAGTGAATAAGGCAAAATCTCTAGGCATAATAGTCGATGAAAAACTGACATGGATGGACCAGATTTCAGAAGTATGTAAAAAACTAAATAAGTGCTACTATGTACTACTAAATCTAAAAAGCACCTTAAGACAAGATGCAATGTTAAACGCATATTATGCACTAGCATATTCGATCATAATTATAACATCATTATATGGGGAAACTCTGTTTACTTAGACCGAGTATTCGTACTATACAGAAGAGGTTACTTGGGCTGATATTTAACTTATCATACAATCACACGTGCCGCAATGTATTCCGTGACCACAACATACTGACCGTGTTTTCAATATATTTACACAACTGCCTTATCTACACGCATCAAAACAAATCACACTATGACCTGCACAGTGATATTCACAATCATGATACGCGGAACAAAAATAAAATTTATCTGCCCAAACCGAAACACTCCTTTTCTAATAAAAAATCACCGACATACCGCAGTATATTATTACTATTTACCCCAAACAATAAAAAGTATCCGATCACTGAAGCAGTTCAAAACTAAAATACGACGTTTCCTAGCGGCCAATGTTATTTACAATGAGGGCGAGTATCTCTCTGTATGTGAAAATGTTATTGTCCATTAAATGTTTGTTAGTCTGACGTTGTAATACAAATTGTGCATTGTGAAATATGAAATAACGAAAATAGGAGATGCGTCTTAATAAATCGGTGCCAGTTCGATATGCGGTCTACCATGTATAATGTGATCTACCATAAAGTAGCTGGTTCAATGTGCGGTCTACATAATATGCATACCAACATAAGTATTACCACAGATTTAAATAGTATATTTAAATCTGTGGTATTACGGATCAATAAGCAAACTAGTGTCTATAATATTTATTATGTTTAACTATGTCATACAGTAAAGATAATTACATTGTCAATTTATACATATACATCTCTAACGTCGTTCAGAAATGCAATAAACTCATCCTCTGCGTTTTTTCGCAACACTCTCCATGCGAAATAATCTAAATGGGATTGCAAAGTGTGCGCTGGAACACCTCTCATTTTCTTCAAAATTTTCACTTTGGCGTCTAACCAGGATCTTTCAATTCCTGAGAATGTGCACCTCTTTGTGGGTGGACATAATTTTAATTAATTAATTATTAATTAATGAGTATCATAATACTCATCCCTCAGTGAAAGTACTCAATTACCCGTTTTTCAATTACTTTATTGCTTTCTTTAGCGAGGGCGTTGCATGTGTAATAGCTTGTAATTAAACCTCGAATTGAACTATTATGAATAATAATTAACTATAATAAAAATAATAAACAATTTTTGGTGTAGATCGCTTATTGAATCAAGAGATCCCAAAAAAAATCCCAAAGCCGAATATGTACCTACATAATAGTCATGCATATTGGACCAGTACTCTCTGGTAGACCGCATATCGAACCAGATACCCCGAGGTAGACCGCATATCGAACTGGCACCAATAAATCTTTGATTGTTGATTTGATTGAGATATTCGATGGAATCTCGAAGCCAGTGCTCAGTCTTACAGGACCATTGAATAGTACATCCTCTAAAAGGTAAAGATTACACTTTCGTCCAGAACAAACAATTTGTTACTCCAGCATGGGAAACCGTTGGTAGATATCGGCCGAGCAACTTTCAAGATTATTGCAGTATTTGATTAACCAAACCATTTCTTGTGCCCAAGTTGTGCCTATGATAATACATAAATTCTAGAGATCCCAATGTCTTCATTGTTCACCTGATTTGGGAAAAGTGGCGACTATAATGTCGTCATCTCCAATTTCAAAATTTTCTATAGCAGGTGCGTAACTTATATACTCTTCCCGGACGCGTGTTCCATCTTCACCCAACTGACCATTTCTGTTCCTTATTGGTAACATATTATTCATTTGTCGTAATGCAAGTACTTACATGGGGTGGGGTTATTCGAAACTTGCATTTGATTAGAACAGGTTAAAGTTCCTATAGTGTTACGGTACACGCTGTATATCATGTATAGATCGGGTTTCCGTAAGTTATCTCTTCGTTCCCACTTACAAATTTTCGGCGCTCACATACACCGCGCCAACATTGGGCTTTTCCTTTTCGTTGTCAACCAGCGGCAGGAGTGCTATTGCTCGCTCGATCATACATTTTTCAAACTATAAAGACGTAAGTGTACTTGTCATTATATTTGTGATTTGGTTATGTATTAATTACTGTATGCTACTTGTGAATTGTTAGTCTGATTATTCTGTAAGCTCCATAAGTGTAATTGCTATTTAATTTTAACTCTTACTTATGGTGAAATTATAACACGCCTTCCATGGTCTACGATAACAAAAGATCTGTAGCGTTTCTACAGTATCTACCATTTTCTTTTTATCTTGACCAGGGAGCGTTATATGCATGAAGTCTTGTTTAATACTAATATTCGGCGTATCTCTAGGTGAGCCTTCACAAGGTTTTTAGCGCATTTTTGAAAAAAATACGCTATTATATTCGTCATTGCTGGCAGGCCGGCTGTCCGCGTTAGATCTCCACAACTACAATAGCTAGAGACTTCAAATTTTCACTAAAAGCTTTCTGCTATAGTGTAGATGTGCAGGCACTAGTCTATTTTGAGTTAGATTACTTGTGAGATCCATAATTGAAGAAAATAATTTCGATATGGGTTTCGGAGGTGCTATAATTTTACCGTTAGATAGCGCTACCAGTATAAAAACTTATTATTTACTTTGTGATTTGTTTTACAAAATGAAGACGTACCGTCAATTGAAATTAAATAAAATTAATTATTTAACGCAGCCAAAATTACTCGTGAGATCGATAATTTTAAACTTCGCTAATAAAATACTGACCTGCATTACCAAAAATGCGCTTTAATCATGCATATGCTGATTTACAACTTGTTTTGTTATTGCTACATTTGGAATTTCCAATACGCTTCCGAGGCCGATAATTGTCGACGCCAAGGGTAGTAACCAGGGACCAGTGGTGGACACAATAAACATCCCGTTCCCGCGATGGCCACGCGAGGTAAACGGCCATCCCTTGATGACCACCATCGTTGCACATTGATGGTCACCTTCTAATAAAACACATCAAGGACATCTCGACACCCAGCTTATCCATCATACAAGACGTATTGGCCGGATTGCGTAAATATAGACCCCTAGAATCGTAATTAAGAAAGTAGCTCACCTGTACGCTTCATTATTTCACTAATTATATTATTGTTAATCTTTATAATTAATATTATTAAAATTTATTATATGTTATGGCAAGTGAGTAATATTGCTCGTCATTTGATCCACGGCATTTGGCCGACCTTTTTTTATTTTCTTTAAAGCGAGGCCACTGGGCACTCGCTACAATAGATAACACACTATTAATAGACAAAGTGCTATCGAACATTCCCGCAAGTGTCGATAACGCGCATTTTTTTAAAACCGAAATAGTTTAGTACCTACATTATTGGGTTATAAGGTCGTACCATGCTATATTTATCAATGTTGACCTTCTTGCTAAATGGTTAATGGGGAGGGGACATTTCCTCGGCAATGGTCTACTGCTACTGCCAACTGATAAAAACATAAGTGAGCAAGAATCAGAGCCGCTGCATCGGCGCCTACCGGTTGCCTTTGGTGGGTATTACAAGCCACAGGTAGCGAGCAGCTGCGCGGCTCATTCTGAAGGTCCTCATGGTTCGCAATACTTATCCCCCACCGCACCGTGACCGCTATGTGAAGGCGGCCTTAGCCTGAAGGCTAACCACTTTCGGAGGGGGAGAGGGTAGTGGGAGATAAACGTCGCTAAGTATACTGTATTCATTTTAAGAAGGTAGCGGTAGAAAGTAAAGGGAAGCTTTGACCATCACTGTGATTGGTTAAAACACGAGCCAGTATTACCAAAGAGTAGGCTAACAACTGGTGAATTTTGTAAGGTGGTAGTTTATGTTGCCGACTAAACTGCCGAAGTGTCATTAGCTGTCAAAGATTTATTTCTGTTCGCTGTGCTGAATATTTCTACTTTACAATAATTTGGAGCCGTTTTATATTTTTCCTGTGTGTGTTGATATCTTAGACCATATAGTACATGGACTGCTATTCGCCCTATGCTTTCAATACAAAATGGATGGTCACAAATAGAGGGCACTGTAGTCGTGGGTATGTGAATCTCAGGGTAAACTAAAGTCGTGTAAACACTACTAGGATCGCTTAAAGAGCAGCTTTATAGTACCCGCGTAGTACGGGAAGCTTTAAATGCTCTTCATTATTTGCTATACGTCCACAAATAAGAATAAGTTTGCTTTTTTTGGGATATCTAGGCGATTAATTAATCGACGTTTGTTAATTTATAGGTTGACAGTCTCAAATCGTGTCTCATCGGACAACTTCGGACAGACTCGTTTACCCTGAAACTCACATACCCAGGCGATGTCCTTGACCATATTTTAGTTACAATTAGCAGTCCATGTACTATATGGTCTAAGGTTGATATTCAAACACAGCGCCATCTACTACCTTCTTATACTGAATGCAGTATAGTTACCCATATTTTTCCATTGCAGGAATACCGCTACCATACGATAGCGTCTTGGACTTTTGTCTTCTAATGGCGCATGTTTGTGTTTAACAATCTATAGAACCTTATTTAATCTGTGACCAAGGGCAAGTTTATTTCAGATAACCCTACCTTATAGCGTACGTATATGTCTATAAATGCATGTTAATTCTTCTGTTTATATTTAGACGGTATAGTTGATTTGAGTATGTTGCCAATAAGGAATGCAAAAGGTAAGTTTGGCGAAGGTTGCGTCCTTTCGTTTGGCGAAGATGGAACACGCATGAGGGAAGGGTATCGGGATTACGCAACTGCTATAGAAAACTTTGAAATTCGGGATGACGACATTATCGTCGCGACTTTTCCAAAATCAGGTGAGAAATGAAGCCATTGAGGTCTAGAGTTTATATGTTATTATAGGCACAACTTGGACACAAGAAATGGTTTGGTTAGTAAAAAATTGCAACAATCTCGAAGGTAGCTCGGCCGATATCCATCAACGGTTTCCCATGCTGGAGTAACAAATTGTTGGTTCTGGACGAAAGTGTAATCGTTACCTTTTAGAGGATGTACTCTTCAATTTCCCTGTAAGACTGAGCACTGGCTTCGAGATTCCATCGAATATCTTAACCAAATCAAAAATCAAAGGTTTATTAAGACGCATCTCCCATGTTCGTTATTGCCTAATGATATAAAGTACCACAGAAAAACTCCAAAGGTACTTTATACGTAGTAAGGTCCTAATCTGTCCATAATTCAACTTTTAAGATCATCTACGTAGTGAGGAACCCGAAAGATGTCTGTATCTCCTATTACCACCACTTCCGCAATATCGTCGGATTTAAGGGCGGTGTAGAAGATTTTTTCGAACTTTTCATCAATGACACAAGTAAGTTGTGCCCACGACAACATTTTTGAGTGTCACGTGCATTGTAGTTCTTTACGCGCCTTATTGGAAACACGTTATTGGATACTATAATATCAAACATTTATCAAACGTTCTCATAATCAAGTACGAAGACATGAAGCGTGATCTCAAAGCCGTAATTATAAAAGTCCAGCGATTTCTAGAGTCGGAACCATTGACAGACAAACAATTGAGGTTGATATCTCAACGGTTAGATTTTGAGTTTATGAAGGATAATGAGTTTGTGAACCATCAATCGTTCATAGATGCAAGAAAAAGAGAAATCCCTCAGTTGACAGGCCGTTTTATGAGAGCAGGATGCAACGGTACTTACAAGCAAGAAATGTCCACAGACCAGATATTGAAATTTGATAAGTGGATCGAAAAAAACATATCGAATACCGAGTTAAACGACCAGTACTGGTTTGGAAATTTCAATGAACCGCAGCATTTAGATACTTAGTTGGCGAATATGATACGATTTTGGAAAGTTCTAAAATTGTAAGACCTTGTTTTAACAATGCCCTCATAAATATGGGTTTTCTCGTCTGAAGTACCTGACATAATTTTTACTTTAAAATATGTAAACATATACAGGATACCTACTTCATCTAAATAAATGTCATTTTGTTGTCTCGGTAACTCTATGGTCTATCGATTTCCCTATTTCACCATTCTCGTTTTGAGTTAAAACGCTTCCTATTTCGTAACTACTAGGAAGTTCGCAATTGCGCCGGACTTTGTTGGAGCACACTGTATAGGATACGATGTCATACAATCTAAGCTCATTTTCAGCGATGCGACTCTGCCATCTGAATCCAAGACATCACTTTCTTAATTGGGTTTCTTCTAAATTCGCTCCAAAAGCTAATATTCACTCGTAGTAATTTTCAACGCAGGCATTTGATTGATATCAGTCAGTTTCAAGCCGTAGATCAAAACAGTGCATGGAGTCGGGTCGGACCGTATATAATGTGAGCTTTCAATCCTGGATACAAATCATTTCCAGATTCTCAGACTTGAGCGCATTTTTGTGTGGCAGATCAGTATTCTATTAGCCAGTGTCGACTCCACCATCAATAAGATCTTGTCGAAGGCTATCATATGCCCTTTGTCAGTAACCACCAGAAGTTGTGCGCGTTTACAAGATCTTTCCGATGACGCCGGTTGGATAACAATCGGATCAAAACTGTAGAAGAACACAGGAAAAAAACTGAAAAATCACCACGTTCGTAAACCACGCTCGGGTATGGCGCCCATACGTCGCCGACCTCACATCATGTAGCCGCGTCAGTAAACAGTGCGAAGACCTCTTAAAGCGTAAGCGAACATATTCATTTCATAGTATTATCGGATTGAGGGTGTCTAATTTAAAAAAATTGTTACCAGAAAGTGTTGAGGTCCAAGGTGCAAGGCGTTCATTGCGGATATATTTCGAGCAGTTAGACGATTAAGTTTTTCTAATCCTATACTTCAATTGATATATTAAACATTTGCTAGCTGTACTTAATAATAATAATAATAATAATAAAAATAATATGACTTTATTGCACTCACTAAAAAACATAAATAAATAAATAAATAAATCATGTCATGATGAGGTGCAAAGGGCGAAGTTCAGATCCTAATGCGAATCTGTTCTACCACTTGACCCATATATAAAACTAAGCGTGGTTTGTACAGATAACATTCCAAAGGGAAACACGAATATAAAAATAACAATAATTTAAAAAAAAGAAACAAAAATGTCCAAGTTGTTTATAAATAATTAAATAATTAAACTGTTGGGTCCAAACTATAAATTCTTGTTCATTTAGAATTCAACTTTGAAAATTGGGTAAAAAAATGGGTTGGTCAGAAAATTGGCGATGTTTGCAAAAGAAAAAAAAACAAACTTAAATTCTCACTTAACTGATTTCGATACAGAATTACATTAAGTAACAAGTTTACGATCAATAGAAATGCAGCATCAGGAACACGATGCAGAGTTTTTCGTTTTCTTATGAATTAAGGTCGATTCGCATTTACGGAACGTCGTCACGTCACCCACCGCGGCAACGTCACGTCAAAATATTGTAATTTACATGGACGGTTCGTGACGTTGACGGTGCGTTCCGTTACGTTTCTATGTAAATGTTATCAAGAAATCTATAATACCATATTTTGACGTGACGTTGCCGTGACACTGGTATTTATTACGAAACTGGCCAAGGCTCGTTTCGTAATTCTCATACTCGTGTCTTAAAAGTCGTCATTAAATGCTCATTGCATAATATACTATTGTGAATCAAAACTGTGCACCTCTCTGGCGTATACCGTGTACGGGGTGTTACCGGTAAGAATGTTAAAGGCAATTAATTCGTGCTTTTGTTGGCTGTCAAAACCCCAAGTTATAAAGAAAAAATTTCGACATTTCCATAGTTTCAGTGAGTAAACCTGGTCGAAGAGTAAACCCAATTTCAATTAATAATAAATAAAATATAATAGATTGCGCGTAACCTGGAGCACAGTTTGTTCCTTATACTTTCAAAGAGTAACCAAATTTTAGCTGGTTATACAAAAGGTCTGATTATATTGTAGAAGGTGATTCACCACCAAATTTACCAAATTGCTGTTATCCTTCCAAAGGATCATTAGTAATTGTAAGTTATTTTAAATTGTGTTGCATTGTGAAGTCATTTTAGCATTTCCGAAGAGAACAAATTTGCGTATTTTTTATGACTGATAAGAGAACCCAAACCAAAGATATTGGTAGCTTTTTCTCATTAATTGTGAAGTTCAATTGAGTTCAGTAATGACTATTTATCTGAGAGTGACCAAACCAGGGCATCGGGTTTTAATTTTTAGATTATGAGTGGGGTTAAACAACCAACCTTTCGCAAGGGAAGGTTCATTGAAAATTTATTTATTACTCAACTACCCGTGGTATTAACAAAAAATTAGTCGTTACAGTAAAATTTTTACCAGTAGCGTAGAGAATAAAATTCATTTTCTACAAATGAGGTGTCCCACACCTGTAAATGTAACAAAATTTTTACTGTTCATTAAAAATCGCTTCATTTCAAAACCAGTACCTACTGGTTACCTTGGTGTTTCCTTTGATATACTTCGCAAATTACAAGACCACTTCAGTAAGCATTTCGCCTGTCGACTGAGAGTTTGTTGATGAACGGTATCTTATGAACCACTGATGTAATAGATCAGTTCCAGCCAATCGACAGCTAGTACTCTTCAATTCGAAAGTGAGCGGTTGCGTTTCCTCCAGAACACAGTACTTTATATTAATACGATTACTCAAATGCTCGTAACGTACATAGAAAAATATATTCAAAACTACAATGTATAAATCAGACCTAATTTCAATTAATTCGAACTTACGTACCCTATTAATAAATGGGTTTCGGATTGTGATATAGATAAAACAAAGATAGGTAATTAAATTAAAACATATGGCATAACCTAAAAAGGAACGTGTTAACAAAGAGGAATTCTATGAAAATAACTTGGCCTAAAAAGGATTACAGCCGTTTCGCATTCGCGTAAAGACGCTTAGATAAATAATTTAAACAATTTTAGCGTGACGACTCTGGAAATGTTCCACTTCAGAAATCAACTCCAATCCAAGAAAATTATTTATTACGGCATCGCTGTCTCTTTTCGTTTTCGAGTTAGACGAGGAATAGACGGACGGACAGATAAAACCATTACTTCGACGTTTCTGGTAATGGTGTTACGTACTGCAGTGAGGAGATATGAAGGTTCGCGTCAGCGAGGGTTGCCTGAATGTTGTGTGTAGAAATCGCGTTGCTCAAGTGGATTGAAGAAATTCCGGATCAGTTGATTAAAATGAAGGAAGTTTTATTTGTACGGGATGCGTATTGGCATTCTGTACTTATATTCAGAGCAGCTCTGGTCTGATTCGCAGTATACTATAGTTTCACGTTATGCGTACGGGATACCTGGGGCGCCTACGGTATGGAGAACGGTAGGTGTCAGAGGCCTATGCTATGGATGAACAGTAGGACTAGGGAGAGTCTTCTTCGCTATAAGGAACAGAAGTCGACTGAATTTTTATGATCATCGTGTTTCATTCCTTCGACATCCCTGACCGCAGGAACGCAGATTAATTAAAGCAGACAAAATAAACTACACCACGCAAGTGCATCTTTCATCGGCACCCCTTGCACCCTCCACTCATTCCAAGGGATTGTTTGATATGATGTCGTTTATTGCGGTTTACTTTGATTTTTAAATTTTTTAGCGCCCCCTTTTTGAACAACGCCCAGGACACGCGCCCTGCCTACGCTACCCTAGCTACGCCTCTGAATGCAATGAAATTTATTGACAATTTTAAATACTACCTACCCAATCTGATGCAAATTCAGTTCAAATTTCCACGAGATGAAGGAAGAGGATTGAATGCACTCCCTTAAATTATTATCGATTCATTTAGTGTTCCTATAAATTGAGTGAAGTCGAGACACTACATTCGAGAATTGAAAGTTCTGTTGCCGCTTGGTTTCAAGTTTACGTGAATAATTTAGATGTTATAGTGTTATACGTTATAAGCGACTGATACTACAATGTCTATAATCAAAGTATTTTGTTCATTAGAGCTAGTACAGAAATCTTTAAATTAACTCTCAATAAATAAAGAGACATTTTTGCTTAAGTTTCCCTGACATAGATAACTTTGTTTTTCCTTTTCTTCAGTAAACGACGCTGTTTATCTTGTTACAGATGCCCCTAAACAACTCTACCTGAGCTTACCGTGTTACGTCCCTGTAGACGAATTAAAAAGGATTTGTATGCACGAGCGAATTACTAAACTTAATATACACTAAGAACTACAGCTTAATAACTAATTTAGGTGCAATAAGTAAAGTACACGGAAAGTACATTAGAGTCTGCTATCACGTACACTGGTACACCTGACACCTTTACGGCCCCTCGGCTTCCGTGATCTGTATAATCCCGTGATAATCTTGGCACTACATCTAGAACAACTCTTAAGACGAGACTAGGGTGCAACAAACGTTTTAAAGGATTTTCCGTTTCTTAGAACGCTTTCGCTTCTTATCAAATGAAGTTTCAGCCAGATTTATGCGTATGTACTTATACAGAGTGTTCTAATCAAAACTGGTACTGCTCACTCTCATCATCTGAGGTAGCAAATTAGTAAATATTTTTTCTCAGAATACAATACCCAGACCAGGTTGAACACGCTAAATCGTGTTAATTAACTTCCAACATTTTAACTTTCTGTTGATTGATTTCAGACAATAGATACCAAATTATACCATGAATTCTAACGATATAAACCCTATATCGCGGCCACGTTTCTTTCCAATTTACCCTTAATTAACCCTTAAGACATATGGAGATTTTAATAACATACAAATAGAAACCTTATAATAACTAACAAGCAATATTCTCATTGAAATTGACCAAATAGCATTAAAGAGAATAAAATGAGTCCATAGGTAATAATTTTATAGAATACCAGGTAGCTCTAATCAGCGAATTAAAAAAATCGATTTCTTTTCTTAAGGAGAACCGATCGCTATTTCTACACAAATCAAGGAAAAATTACAGTATCTACCATATAGCGTTCTCTGGAAACGATGGTTTTCGTATAGTACAAATTAGAACGAAACGTCTCCGTGCCTTAAGCTGGATCGCGGACTGTAATTAATTCTTTTCCGGTATCGACCGTAAACTTTGCGCAATACTCGCGTAAAAACAACGCTTAAATTTACGATAAAAATTTTATTCCGGACTACTTCCATGACGCTCGTGGTCCAAAAACGAATGCCTGACCGTTATTTTCTATGGGCTAATCCCTACTCTATCTTTTAATTTTTTTGTACATCAGAAAATTGTGCTAACTAGTTAACGCGACCATTTTTAATCATGAACGAATCAGATTCGTTTACCACCACGAATCATGCACGCATAAGAAAACCCACCGTCGTTTAATATCGCTTCACACGAATCTTCGTATTATCTTGCCTCATCCTGTCTTAGCGTTTTGGTCACGTAAAAGATATTAGAATTACTTTATCGCACGCCCGACTGTCCCCACTAACTTTCCTAAACCATTAACCGGTCATGACGCATACAAAACCAGTGACACATAAAAATACAGATCGCCAATTTTATATAGAAAGAAAATTCGAAAAAATTAACCTGCTTAAACCGTTTATCCGATTGCGATGGACGTATGCTCGCGAAGGTTTCTAGATAAATAAATTGATATGAAGATCAGCGGGCGAGCGAGGTGAGGCGGCGCAATCGCCGAAACATTCAAGAAAACTTAAGTTTCCCAAAGGCGGTACAAGGTTTGACTGGTCTCCTAGTATCATATAAAATAAAGGAAGACGGAGAATTAATTGTGGTGATCAAAAGAGATAGACCATTTTGCTCTGCGACCTACCTTTCGCCAAGGCGTATTTGGACAACATTATTGTTCAACGGTTAAGAAGTTAAAGCAGGTTATTGCAAAAACAATTGAACGCCCCACGCGCCACGCCATCTTTGTTTTTGAAATAACTGAGTTTTGTGTTTACGAAAATGATACATAAACTGATTCTCTTTAAAAATGTGAAAAAAAATATTTAGTTTATTATGCAAAATTTAAAGAAAATGCAATTTTAAAATTTAAGATGGCAGTTACGCCCTCTGTTGGTAATTTTTAGAACTTGAAAATATTTTCCAGCCATTCTTCATGACCGATTTACTCAATAATTTTTTACCCCCAAGTCATATGACGAACGGTTCTCGAGATATGGCCGAGGAACAGTCTTATTGGGTCACCCGGTACATATTATCGAACTAATTTTGTATTCACGGCTGTGAAAACATAGATTTCACATCTTTCTACAGTATCCAAACAAGTATATATCTGTAGTTAATATCCCCTCACACACTTAAAAACGCATAACGCATAAACAAGTGTGAATATTGATTTTGTCTTCCCGATTTAGGCGAATAGTACCTATCCAAGTACGGCACTGGCCATTATTTTAACTGCGTGCAAAAGTTAGCGGCGCCAGAAAGTCACGACTAGACGCAACAAGAATTACGTGGCAATTCTGATGAACCAGATCCGTTAGTGATCAAGGTGTTGCGGAGCGCTTAATTTTTGCCGAGTCTGTGGGAAATCAGGTAATTATCAGTTTCTGGTGATTTTATTGGCCGAAAAAAATAAATTCTATTACTGAAACAGAACAGAAGGCGGTGAATAACCTACTGCTAGAAATGGAATGGAATTATTAAACTGCTAATTATGGACAAGAAGTTGCTTCTTATGATATCAATTAAGTTGTATTTAGTCATAACATATTTTGGAAATAAATTAAATTGAAATTGATACGAATTTCAATGGAAGCAGTTTAAAAAAACTAAAACGATGGAAATGAGGTCGTTCGGAAATCTGCCGTGATGCATTAGGTATGAGGCCACGAGAATACTCGCGTTGCGCGTTTAAAAAAAGTTTAAAGCCATCACCCGTTTTGCGCGGCGTGGTTCTTTTCTGATTTTTTAGAATCAAATTAACAACCCATTAGAAGAGAAAAGGGTGGATGAAATTCATGTTGCAAGGGACCAATTCTGAGAGCTTTTTGCAACATGTCACCGCTCACGAGTGCCCGGGAAGGAGCAATGCGAAACAATATTGCAATTTCCAGATCACTTTTCTTGAAAAATTAACCCATGAAATTGATCCTCGTTATTGCAAAGAAAATTAGGCACGTCTATTTTCCAGTTAATATAGTTTAGCATTATTGTAAACTGATGGCATAAATTTTGGGTGTAAGCTAAGTCAATTAAAATTAGAATAGAACGGAACAAATACATTCTGACAGAATTTATATGACATCCATTAAGCTCTTTCCTAGCGTATAAGTTTGTCCCTACACATCGAAAGAGAAATCCGACAAATGTCGCAATAAATCTTCGAGCTTCGCGAACATAGGGAACATATAATATGATCCTAAGCATACTGATAATATAATGTCTAAAATTTGCGATCAGTTACTGAAGTTAACAAGAACTAAGACGACACCGACAGAGTAAAATTACGTACTATATACACTAACCAGATATCTCAAACACCTTAGCTGTAACAAAAAGCATCAATCTTTTTGTTACGCTCTACAAAATAAGGTGATAGGGTCGTATTTATAGAGCGAAGTTTAGTAGGTAATTTTTGCACCCTCTTCAGCGAATTATTTAATTAATTTGCATGCTTACCACACTGTTTCCAAATCCCGGTAAAAGGGTGGTGTCGTTTATTTTTAGCGTTATCGTGTATGGCGATTCCGAAAGTCGTATATCCTTGGTGACGATTAATTCTGAAAAGTAATAAATGCAAAGTGAATTTCAATTAGACCAACGTCATACCTTAATTATTTTAGTGCTAGTTTTGTACAAGTTTTTAATTTTTAAATATGAGGGCTACCTACTCGAAACGCTTCTGGAAACGATGTGAAAAAATTTAGTAGGTAATTGTTTTTTATGTAATATTGCTCTAAGACGTGAATACAATTTGCATTTGGCTCACTTTTTCCACTCTGAAATGAATACTTTCGAACCGCCCTCGCTTTTTCATGAACACATTTCGCAACCATAAAAATGGTTCATGTAAAATCGTGGGTATTGATGTGTAAGTTAACATGAAACAACATGAATTCACTTGGTGTACAAAAAGTAAACTAACAAATATTTAAAATTATTGTAACGAATATTCACGAAATTCCGACAGACATCGAGGCGCATGAAAGATTAGTTATCGGCGATAAAGAACGAAGGCGGGTGTGACGTAATCTTTCCGACAAATATAACGTGTTTGTTCGAGAACATTTTGAAGCCTCCTTGAATACTCGAGAATATTCTAGAAAAAAGCATGTTGTTTGCTATATAAGCAAATGGAATTGTTTTTCCAATTTACTTTGATGCGCTTGTGTTATGTTATAAATTTTAAGTGATAAGTAATAATTACTGTTATAAATTGATTGTCAAGTTATTTGCAAATAAACCGCTAAAGCGGATCTAAAAAAGCGGCAGAGCACCTCGGTGTGACCCTGGTCTGCTGCTCAATAACAAAACCATGTAATTAAATTTTCGTTACATTTATGGGTTTACGGGTAGATTTGAAAGGTTTGTAGGTGTAACTCATAAATATCTCGGTCGAGTTCGCGAATCCAAAAATTCTGTCATATTGGAACAAAATGGCGGAAAGAAATCTACCTACACCTGATCGGTCGAACCGAAAGGGATTTTTCACTTACAAAACGTTAAAGCCTCTATTCCAGAAACATTTCAAGCAGCTTACGCAAGTTTCCGATTCCATTAATACTTACTGCAAAATATCGCCGTGTGAGTCTCATTTTCGCGATCGTCTTCGAAGATGGAGCAGTTGGGGTCAAAGACGTGCAGCTTATCATCGGATATTGATATAAGGTACGCGTTGACAGGTGGCGAGTCGCGATCCATGAACATCAAGTCCTTATGTTCGATCACTTGACCCTAGAAATGAACTCAGTTAAAATTTAATTGCAACATTGCCACTTTCAATTGCTTTACATGCGACGCACATTTGAGCCAAGTGATACCTAATGACAGTTTAAAATTATTTTCGCCGAGAGTTTCAGTATTGCGATGGGAGTATGAGCTTTAGAAAAAGATTAATGATTAAAGTTGTACGTTTTCAATTTTATGAATATGCATAAGTTAAATGGTGCGATTTATTATTGTCAAAGCAATGCGATGCTAGTGTCACAGTATGTGAATTTTTGTTTTGTGCTGCGGTTGGCATCTTTAATTTTATTTAAATTGAAAATACTATTGTAAAATTCGAAAGCTCTTCTCTGTAAATCGAACGCTATTGAAAAATATAGCGCATTCAACTTGCTATCTTCTGTCATTTTCAAATAAGTTTATCCTTTTTTTCATCGCAGTGTTGTCAAACTTAAAGTTCAATTAATTTAAAATTTACTTTTTATACTAAAAACCCGTTAAATATCTACGTGTTTGGGGTACTTCGAGTGTTTTATGCTATTTCACGGTTAGGAAGTGCCTGTTACACCGTGTCAACGATATTATAAAGCCGAGCGGGAGTTTATCCACAACATGAGCTGCCAAGCGCGCGCTGTTTTTCCATAAGCACCATTCTGCATCTGTAGACGCGCTGTAGTAGAACAAATGGAAAGAACCGCACAATGTAACAACGTTGGATTATAATTATTGAAGCCCTTTTATCTGTTCTCTTTCTCAATAAACTGTTTGAAAATCGGATGCATTGTTTTCTTTCATCAATTCCTTTCTATACGCTATTATAAATTTCCTCGAAACTTGTATTTTGTTTGCTATCTTAGTACTTTTATGTAATGGCGTTTCACAAGGTATTAACCCTTTTTTTTTATGTATTACAACGACATTTCAACTTTAAGAAGTGCTAATAATTCTATACCGTTTGCTGATGATACAATAGGCCCTGTGATGTATCACTAACCTTAAACTTAACGCGCAGGTTATCTGTCAAAAACGACATTTCGCCTATACTAATAAAGCAAGATAACCTGCACGTTAAGTTTGACGTTTCTGATTATACACCACAGGGCTGAATATTACTATACACAGCAGATAAATCGGCCCTGTACTGTATCAGAAACGTCAAACTTAACGTACAGTTCATCTGCCAAAAAACGTTATTTTACGTTATTTAGTAGTAGGCAAAATAACGTTTTCTACAGATAACCTGCACATGATACATCACAGGGCTGAATATCCCATTATTATTCTTATTATCAAATATTCGAAGTGCGGCACAAAACGTTACCTGACGTCAACTGAACGCGCGTAGCACCACCCACTCTTTGTTGTTTAAAACGGATAAAATGGAACTGGTACTTCGAACCGAAGCCGGTGGCGCAGTGGTTGCGTTGCCGAGTGCTATTCGGGAAGTCGTGGGTTCGATCCCCTTGCCGACTGCTCTGTCTACAGAAGTTGGAAATTTTAACCCGGTCAATTAAGTGAGTATAATTACCCGTAGTTAATTAATTGTGTTGCAGCAAACTTTGTCTGATTAGATCGCGCTTAGTGTCATTAGAAGCGCGCTTAACTAATATAGGTTTTGAGGTATGCCCCAGATTTTTAGGACGCCCGAGTACCTGGAAATTAAAAAAAGAATTTGTAATTTTTTGGACGTTATCACCCGACTACGCCATCTAGCCGGAATTTCCGACGTTCCCGTTCCGTATTTTGGGAAGTTTATATAGTCCAGGCTAAATAGCTCTAACAGAATTTATTTAAAAAAAAAAATTAGTTACCGGGCGAAACCGGGTTTTTTAGGCAGGTGAAATGATTATAAATTGGGAAAAAATAATTAAAAATCCTGAATTTTTCCGCGGGTGAAATCCTGGGTGTTGAAAGGGGCGAAAAGTGGTGTTTTGCAAATTGTGGCAAAACTATTAATTTTAGACGAAAATGTTCAATGTAACAGTTATAGAGATTAAAAAAATGAGCAACTTTTGTATCTGCACTATTTTCACAAAACCTTCAATTTTCCTAGAAAAACCGGAAAAACTGTTTTTTTCGCTTTTTATTTTTATTTTTGCGAAAAAAATCGTAGGGGTTTGAAATTTGGCGGAAACATAGCTTGTTTTATGATAAAAAAGGAGATAATTTTTTGAGCCCGTAAAGTTGAACCGTTTCCAAGATCTCATGATTTCTGAAAAAAAACACCTTTTTTCAAGGGGATGAAAAATCTATTTTTTTCATCGTACAGAGGTGCGCGGGGTAGCAAAATTTTCGTGAGGACATTTTAATAATCAAAAATAAACAATATTATTCCAATAGAAAAATTTTAAGAAAAGCGGCGAACACTGGGGGAACAGTCTTAAGATATACCGTTTTAATGTTTTAATGTTGCTAAAATATTTTCTTTTGTTTCCTAGTGCCCAACTGGCTTAATTAAAACATCTTTATTATTTCTTTTTTCTGCATTTTTACCGGAATAAAAGCAATTCGAAATAAAATCGAATTCTTTTGCTTCCTGAACAACTTGTTTCTGTTCACTAACTTTTCTTCCTGCCTGTTTTACACCTGATGCGATTGCGCTGGGTCGAATTATGAATAAAGTCCTCACGTAGTTTATTCCAGGGTTTACATCTTAAATCATTTCCTTTGGCCGGTAAAACTAACGTTTTTTTTTCATCGTACAAAGGTTCACGGGGTAGCAACATTTTCGGGAACACATATTTTAATAAACATAAATAAAAAAAATATTATTCCTATAGCAAAAATTCGAGAAAATTGCCAAAAACTGGAAAAACAGTTTTAAGATATACACGGTTTTTGACATGATAAATCAACGTGTTGGATGTTAATAAATATTTTTTCGAAATCTGTCTTCTTGCTTCTTTAATGTTTGCTTAAATATTTGTTATCTTATGTTCAACTGTTTTAGTTAAATAGTATATTATATACCGCGGGACTGAAGTAGTACTTTTAATCCCGAAGGTAAAGTTTATTGCCCGACCGAAGGGAGGGCCATAATTTACCTGAGGGATTAAGACCACTACTTCAGTCGCAAGGTATATACGATATTTTTCGTACTTCCGAAACTGAAACACTTAATATGTATGGAGTTAGAGAACGCGTTCTTTCAAAAAATCGCTGCTGAACAAGTTACCATAGGAACGTGCGTTGGTACGACAATGCCTATGCTATGGTAACAAAAAGAATTTGGAAACTGTCATTGCTAGTGTCATAAATTTGGTGGTGAGTGACAAAGGTGTATTTGATATTGATAAAAAGCAGCCTAAGTAAGTAAATAATTGATACCACCGAAATCCAAAAAACTATATGAGCAGCAGTACGATGCGTTTAAGAAGTAGTGCCGCATACAAAATGTGGAACAACCTACTGAAATTGCCTTGTTAGTAATTTCATCCTTCCGGGATTTTCGTCAAAATTTAATCCCGGCGGGACAAAAAGTGACACTTCAGTACTTGTCATAATGGAGTGAAGTGGTCACTTTAGTCTCGGAAGTACGAAAACATCTTTATTATTTCTTTTTTCTGCATTTTTACCGCAATAAAATCAATTCGAAATAAAATCGAATTATCTTGCTTCCTGATTCCAGAACAATTTGTTTTTGTTCACTGACTCTTATTCCTGCCTGTTTTATAGCTGATGCAATTGAGTTGGGCCTGTTGATAAACTTGCAAAATCTGCAATAAAATAGATTTTTCATCCCCTTGAAAAAGAGGTGGTTTTTTCGGAAATCGTGAGATCTCGAAAACGGTTCAACTTTACGGGCCCACAAAATTGTCTCCTTTTTTATCATAAAACAAGCTATCTTTACTCCAAATTTCAATTCCCTACGACTTTTTTTTGTAAAAATAAGAATAAAAATCGAAAAAAAGATGTTTCCGGTTTTTCTAGGAAAATTGGACGTTGTGTGTAAATAGTGCAGATACAAAAGGTCATTTTTTTATTCTCTATAACTTTTATATTAAACACTTTCGCCTAAAATTAATGGTTTTGCCACAAATTGCAAAATACCAGTTTCCCCCCTTTCAACCCCCGTGATTTCACTCACGGAAAAATTCGGCTGTTTTAATTATTTTTCCCAAATTTCTAATCATTTCACCAGCATGAAAAACCCGGTTTGAAACGTTAACTAATTATTTTTGTAATAAAATATTATATAGCCTGGACCAATAAGGTAACAGCACGATTTAGGTGGATCTTTTTCCGTTTTGGTGTCATTTTTGGTAAATTTTGCATTTAAACGTACCAATTAATTTCAAGGTAAGCACTTGATATTTTCATTTCGTTGAACATAAAGAGGAGGGTTTCCCTTATTTAGTAACTACTAGATAACGTTAGTTAATTTGTGCTTACGTTCCGATTTGGGAAACTGCCACCGTCCTGTGTGCCGAAATCTTGTTTTAGATATTCGCCATTTACCCGCATCAGATGCCAGGAGTTTTTCCGTCTGATTGCCCGTGGCTTCCGAGACCGATCCGAAACCGACCGTCACTGACCATGAGCTAGGATCGACAAACTCCTGGTGGCGCTTGAGTTTCCGTACCATTAAACTTAATAAAACTGTGAACAATTTATGTTTTATGTAATTTTTCCCCTAATCTACAAGGAACCATTACGCTAAATACGTACACAGGTGGAATTTTAAATGGGCGAAATTAAATTCTGTGACTTTAGTAACTCTAGAAGAATGCACTTATTATTGAGTTTCATGTTCGTGGCCTATTGTGCGCAAATACTATTTTTAGGCTATCATCACAAAAACGTTGATTTTGTGGTCGCTTTTGCGGCCATAAAGTTTCACTTTATTGTACGCTTCTGTCAAACTGTACTTATTTGAAACTGATGTGTGAGAAACAGTAATCTGTTTGATACAAAGCGTCTATCTGGTCTAGCCCCATCAAGGATAGGGCCATCCACGTGTGTTTTTTTTCATTTTCGGACTTGTAGGAATGTTTCACACTATTTTGCAT